TTCATTTTCTCAACACCTAAATGTCCACTATGAAGATCTTCAAGGACAGATTTACGCAATGAAGGAGGAATAGCAACACGATCATTTAAACACAAAATACCGTCAGGAGTAGTAGATAGCTCATCCCGCTTTGAAAATTAGACAGGAAATCTGCATTTCAGATTAACATTCCAACCTTTCCGTTTAGCATTAATTATACATCCAAAGTATCTACGAGTTTCTCTAATGAGATCTGAACGTCTCACTGGTAAAGGTTGCACTAACAAACAGTCTGAAGTATTAACAGGTTTATCTTGTAATGGCTGTCGAGAAATGTAGTCAACATGTTGAATTTGTTTGGCACTCCTGTGCTAAACCGTATAGTCATAGGCACTCAAAGCAATACTCCATCGTTGAACCATAGCAGCTGAGGAACGTGCTAAGGATTTTTCGGGATGATAAATAAACTTTAAAGCCTCATGATCAGTAACAATAGTGAATTTCTTTCCGAATAAATATTTATGAAGTCTTTTAACGGCCTAAAACACAGCTAATGCTTCTCGCTGAGCCTGTGAATAGCCTTGTTTAGTAACAGTAAGTTTGCGTGAAACACAAATAACTGGTCTACCCTCCTGTTCCAAAACTGCGCCAATACCCACAGGTGATGCATCAGTGGTAAGCACAGACTGTACACTAGGGGAGTAAGTTCGAAGAACAGCATCACTTTGAAGAAACTTTAGTAGACTACGTAAGCATGACTCTTTTTCCTCACCCCATTTAAATGAATTGGATGTCAAAATATTAAATAAACAATTTGCACGACCAGAAAAATTAGGAACAAAACGGGAATAGTATTGAAGAGCACCCACTAGTGAACGTAGTTCCGTAAAATTTTTTGGAGATGGTGCATTTGTCAGTGGAGCTAGTCGTATCATATCTGGTCTAAAACCATTACCATCAACTAGGTATCCAAGACATTCAAAACTAGATACACTAAATGAACACTTATTTGGATTCACTGTAATATTCTTCTCAATTAAACGACGCAATAAAGCAATAAGTCTCTGGTTATGAACTACCTTATCAGAACCATGGACAATGAGATCATCTTGATAAACTTCAATACCTTCAAGATCACTAACCACCTTATTCATAACTTCCTGTTTCGCTAACTAAAAATTCACAAGGTATGAACGAAGAATTATCATCTCTTATTAGCAACTCACAACATCCTCGTATAGGCAGTCTGTGTCCAGTAATCCCCAATATTGACACCTCAGTGGGTCGTACCACAACATTAAGATCTGAAGATTTCATGTTCTTGAATGAAATAATGGACTCTATACTGCCTGTGTCAACAATAAAGTCATGACATGAACCAAGCGATGTATATAATCGCTTTTGAATATGAGTATTACCTTTCGAAATGGTAGACAAAGATAAATGATCATTAGGAACAGCTGAATTATTGGGATCTAAATTACAGGATTTATTACTACTTAAGGCAAAATGAACAGTAGCTTTGCATACCGTTTGAATGTGTCCTATCTTACCACATCTAAAACATTTAGCATTACGAAATGCACATGAATTACGAGAATGAATTTTTCCACATGATAAACATTTACTACCTTTGTGATTTCCTTTGTAATTCCTTGTTGAAACACCTTTCATATTTACGCGAGAATAGGAACCACGGTTGAACGAACGCAAGTTTAATTAACCCTGAGATTGTATTTCATCATGACGACTAAGCAAAGTATTAGAAATATTCATCGACTGGATATCAAGTTCATTCACTGCCTCGTAGTTAATACACGCAGTTCTAGCATCTTGAAAGGAACAGTTGGGCATTCTTAACAGCTCTCTTTCCAAACCCAGTATGTTGATTCCTGCGATTAATCGGTCTCTCAGTTGCACATGAATTTGATCACCAAAATTAAATTTGGCAGCTTGTTTCTGCAATCCAAGGATGAATTCCTTAACTTTTTGGTCATTTTGACGGATCATCTTATGAAATTTCGCCCTTTCACGGCATTCAAAACTAGTGCACTTTACATGATTTAATAGTAGCTCCTTAATAGTTGCATAAGGAAGTGAGATAGATTTTTCCGGATATGCCAAGTTTTTTAATAAGCTGTATGCTTCTCTTCCGATGGATGTCAGGAAATGTGCCACAATTTTATCACCTTTGACATCTTTCTTGGTCATGCTCCAGATTTCAAACCCTTCCAAATAATCTTCAAAAGCTTCAAAAGTTGAATGAATATCTAACTGTTCCATCTCAGGCCCCATCGCGGCGCCAATATGATAGTTAGGAGTGATTGAATTATGGTATGAACTAAGAGTCCCAGAAATAACGTAATTGGATCAAGAACTACTAGATAAGCATGAATGAATGTACCGTATTTAGAATTCGAAATCACACATTCAACAAGTACAAAGGAGTCATAAGTTCTTTCAAACACCAAAGTTATACAATCAGAAGTTTCTCTAACGCAAAGCAGCGCGCTAAACAATAAAAGAAACAGTCAATACTAAACGATTCAATACCTCAGAATCAACAAATATATTACCAACAAACGGGATCAAATATCTATACGCAGGGATTCCGGGAATCCTCCCAAGCAGACAGTCAAAAGGTCAACAGTCACACACTGAATCACGTCGTGACCTTGAGCTTAGTCAAACACGACCTTACTGTCAATAGTCCGGCGACATGCAACAGAAAATGAGGTAACAAAAAGATAAGTCTTTAACCAAAATCACACGATAAAAGCTCAAACGAGATCTGAACCAAGGTTCAAATATATGCAGAGATAAGAAACAAATAAATGAAACTACTGTCCAACAGAAAAGGCTGTGGAGGGATTTTCATCGTTCTCTTTGCGTTACACTTATTCTTTTTTTTCTATCGACGCTTATGTCCTCCGATTGCTGTGAACATTTGCTGCTTTATATCAATGCTGATTACGATTCAAACTTGACAAATTAGTTCAATCTGTTGAACTAGCTAAACTACGATGGTAATCGGCCCTCATGGTTCTTCAACAAGCATTAGCAGCATGTAAATGTTTGTATGTAACTTCTTTTTAAACTATCAATAACTCTTAAGTATAGCCACAAGTAACCTGCCACAGACTGACTTTCTGCTTTAAGTCAATCATGGCGTTTATGTCAGCATTAATTAATAAGGCACATATCGTGCTACTACTGTAGTATAATCACTTAACATGGCTGACAGACTTCCACAACGCATAACGATACTAAAATTCGTAACACCTTGCGAAACCCCTCCTCTTTTAATATTCATTCAGACACCGTATTGTTGTCAGTGGTCCGATATCCCACAATGAAATTATATAACGGTAATCTTTTAATCCTAAAAATCATAGGTTAAAGGATGCGTGACAGTTTACATGCACGATAAAATTGTCATGAATTTAGCGAAATTTCGCTAGATTATTTTGGTTGGCGTGTTATGGTGGAACGTTTGCTGTATATACCGGATTACGAAACAATGATGGTTGATTTCAAATTGAGGCCTTCAATACAAAAATTGAAACCTCATATGGATGCTGCAACTTAAAGATAAACCGTTTAAAGTTCACACTACAGATGTCACATAATGACAGTATGAACGACAAATTTTTGTACAAATATAGGTTTTTTCCTTTGACTGATCTCCATGTTTCTGGCATAGAGTTTCAGTGGATAGACGTTCTATCGGAAGTGTAAAGTAACACGTACAACGGAGTTTTAAATTCCAGTTACGTAGTTTAGATGTTGTACAAGTTTAATAGATCGCGGTTTGTGAATCTTCCTTATATGATATTGGAGATTACTAGAGCTTGAGGGAGATACGAAATTTTAAAATAAGGTCAACCCGGGTCTTACGATAAGACAAGGGGAAAAGGTTAGAGTGTTTTAAGCGCCCAACGTAAGGGGGTTTAGGAAGACTATTCGCTAACTTCGTCCCCACACAAGTGAGTTAGTATCCTTAATCAGACATAGGCTAGGTGATTGAATACAGTACTCTAAGTAGTGACTTATTATTACTTACAAGTCTTACTGTTACAAGTTTGCATTCGGAGACTATTCCACCACTAGCATTTAGAATATAGGAAATTAGTTTAGTAGACAGTTGCATCAGAAGTGAGTTAACAATTTGAAAGCCTATCAAGATATAAACAGTTTCGACACCACATATTAATCCCAAGTGTAGTTACCATTTTGAAGTTATGATGAAAGATACGCTGAGAAAACTTAGGGTTGACTCCATGATATTCGGATTATGTAGACATTTTCTCTGACAACATAAGTGCAACTCCTTGTGTTAAGAGAAAGTTTTTTTTCCATGACCAGAAAGTAACATCAGCTATCGTGAAGTCCTAATGTCGAGACTGTGTACAATGGGTTCCACTTGTTACAAGCACAACGTATCATGGTAACAGCTACACTCAGTACTGATTGTTTGGACTGAAAGTTACTTGGACGATAATATTGACAAGATGAAAGAATATTGTGACACGACTAACTGTACTGGTTCGAATATTCAATAGCAAAATGCCTCAATATATAACAAAATTATCACAAACCGATTAAGAGTATGTCCTGTTTAGTTATATAAACAAGTCCTGTCATTTCATGCACTTCGACCTGATGATGCAAATTCAAAGGTTATCAACGCCACAATGATGAAATAAACATTACAACATATTCACAAATTGTTCTGAAACGGTTTAATGAGCATTAGAATGCATGGGCGATTAAAGGAAATTGGATTGCATTTGAATAGAATTGCGATACAAACTATATATTCGCGTACATCACCTGAATTATTTTAACTTATATGACCCTACATGAACGGATGCATTGAACGTGATTGTCAAAGTATGAATATGGTATTATTTAAATAGACGAAAGCTTTCAGGGGACGGATGAAGGTTCCATCAAAAACAATAAATCTACAAATTTCACCAGAACGACTTATTGAAATTTCCTAGCGAGAAGTCGGGTATAACTAAAATATTTTCATTACTGAAACGGAAATATTCTTATTATAATTAATTAATGTTATACGTTATTCACCATACCGTTCGTCAGGTACATCAGGTAGGAGAAATCTGGTATACGAAAGATTTAAAATAACAACATAGTTTAGAACACTGAAGTAAGGTTACATCTAAAACGAGTTATGCATTTTTTTTTAAAAAAAGGCTCAAATTAAATGAAACTAATATGAGCTGAATGCGATCTTTAAGAGGTATCATAAATTTGATAAGTTTATTTGGTAGTTACTGAAAATACAAATAAAGGGTACACAAATCGTAGTAAAAAAGAAGTATCATTACAAATAAGACCAATTTTTAAAAACAAGCTCAGAGAATAATATACAAGAAAATTATATAAAAGTACTTCTCATTCTATAAGATAAGAAATATTGACTATAATAAAATAAACCAACTATATACAATCTATGATTTGACAAATGAATTTACTACCCATTACGTATAGCTGGCGCATTATAGTACATATAAATCAAAAAATTTACAGGAAAAAAAAAGAAAATTTTTCGATCCTGTTGAACAGAATTTACACAGATGAAACGAAACTATTATTACTACCAAAAAAATATAAGTTACAAAATCGAAAGATAACTGTTAATCAAGTCCCAATACTACATATAGTATGAGGTGCTGTAACCCTTATAAATATGATGTAAAGAATACGTGAACAATGAAAGTATCTTCGGAAGCAAGACAAAGTGTATACCATTAAATTTTAGAATATTTAATATAAATCATTTTCCTGGATCTAAAAAAATTATTTCATTTACATATTTTAAAAATTCATCAACATAATACATACTTAATATTCATAGTAAATGAAATCTCAAACGAATAATATTGTGGTGTTAGACTACACATGTTCATAAACTGAGGTAGAGATGAAATAGGATATCTGAAACCGGGAAATTACAAATAGACCAATAAAACACGTTAACAGACTATTAAAGTAGAAATAGTTTTGATTTATGAATGTTTCCTTTGTATTTGTGATAGGTACACCATGAAAATTACTGGCAGTATATTGTTCTATCTCCAAAGCTTGAAAAACGCGGCAACTGAAGCCAGTTTTTTTCAGGGCTGTGTCTAAGCGAACAACTTCAGAGACACATGTGAAAGGTTGATATTCAGTAGTTTTGTTCATTTCGATTTAGCTCCAATGTTTATCAGTGGGAGATGGCAATAGATAAAGGAACAGCAGATCTTTCATTATCTGAAGCATTTGGACTGAAAATGGATGGACATGACGTAGAAAATTGTGAAAAGGTATGTGGTGAAACAGTCTGAATGGTGGGGAAAAATTAATGATTTGATTATCATGAACAGTTAACCGGATAATAGTTACTTTTACTTCTGCAAGCAAAAATGAGGAACACAGAACAGAGAATAACGGAAGTCTTTTCAGTAAAAGAATAAATTGTAGTAGATCTGACATTATTTTTCTATAAAGTTACTTTGAGAACAAATATCGACATTATATTAGTTAGGGAAACTGACGGGTTTTGAGTAAGAATTTACCAAATGAAAAAAAAAAGAGTGGTTGCTTGAAAAAAATACATGTACAGATTCAAATATGCAAGTACAGCATATACTAGGAGCACTTTCTATATGCATCGTACTGTCAGTAATATGCGGACATGTTTAGATCGAGAAATGAATTCTGGTCAGCAAAATCATTCATTCGTATCGCTCATCCATTTAGATAAAAACCTTATATTGAAGCTAACACAAAAAACACAGTAGGTCTTTCGATAGGTATTTGTATAAGACCATACAAGCTAGATAGAAATATACAGATTTCAATTATTCAGATGACTTCACAGATCTGCAGTTGGAAAATGGACTCTGTTTTATAATTTATTACATGTGCAAAAGATAATAATACTACGCAATTGGACAAATTAAGAGTTGAAAGATGGTCTCAGCTGTCACTCCCTGGATAACAGAAAAAGATCTACTAAAATATCCTGAAAAACGAAAAAGCAGTTCATCAATCATAAACTATTTTCCCATTTGAAGTAGCAGATGCAGCATTATTGCTTTTATTACTTGAAAACTTTCGGAATATTAAATAATGGATTCCCTGGAAATATTACCTAAAACCTAGCGCATTTTCGGAGTACCTGTTTGTATTCCCTTATCATATACTGAGTAGTAAAGTAGGGAAAATATTATTGTTTCCTTAAGTAAACGCTAGCAAATTCCTTAACTATACAGAAACTTAACTGAATTTAAATATATCGATCACCTAGGGAAGGAAGACAACAATTGTTAATGTTCAAAAGATGAACTTCAACAGCCATAAATAAAAAATTTCTGAGTTACTTAGATGATTATGACACAGATTTATTCAATCTCTTGGATCCTGAATACAATAAAAACCGTAAGTTTCGCAATTGCCTTAGAAATATTATTCGCTACATTTATGATAAACTAATGGGACAATTTGTACAGTAAATTGCATAAAGGAAAACAATTATCGAAAACACCTAAAAAGCTGATAGACAGTAAAAATGACCGTAAAAAACGGTTGATATCATGTGCTCTACAGTTAAGTAATATACATGAAAAAATAAACCTACTGGTTTTTACATCACGAGTAACCATGGAAACCACATTATACTCAATGAGAACACAATTTAATTTTATTATTGCCTGTGGAGAATTCTAAGTAATCTCAAATTTATCTAATAGGATATATTCAAAAAGTGATTTGAAACGACGACTTCTTGAAAGACTATTTACTAGTGGAAAGGCAGAATGGAATACGCACGGATGAGCAGTAAGTGATATATAATATATTTTTGTTAACGATAAGGTCAGAAAAAGTACCAACAACTTGAAAGATTCAACGACTTAATTTCCTTCAGAAACAGAGTTTAAAACGAAATTATTGTATGAATCTGAAAGATTTCGCAATAAACTGTGATACAGGTGTAAATAAAATGTGAAGAGAAAATTAGGCTTTCCTTTATTATCTATCATAAATACACATCTTCATTTGGTTTATTAATATAACTGAACACATAAATATTGGTACAAAAGAGTGACCGAAAACATATGCACCACACAAGTCACTTGATTTGTATCCTAACCGTTGTTGCTACCTTGACGTGGTGGTCGGGCTTGCCTATCGTGATGAAGCAACTGAGCTATACTGGCTGGAACAACCGTTCCTCAAGGTCCTACCATGCCAGACAGGTCGATTGAAGAGCAGTTAGACGAAAAGCAACAAATCCAAGGTCCGAATACGAAGTCGTGCTGCTAACTGTACAGAGGTGTGACAGCAGTAAGGTGTTTCCCTCAGACAACCAGCATAACAGCGATGCTGCCTTCCCACAAGGAAGGGTGGGGTTAGAAAAGGTCGACCCTAAAAATGCACACCTCGCCTTATCCCACGGATATCCGTCTCCGGCTGTAAGGTCTCAACAAGTACAGAGCTAACACAAAAATTACTCATAAAAAGGTCGTGTGTGAAAGACCTCAAGCAGCTGTCCCTTGGGCACTGCGGTCACGCTCTCAGGTCACTATGGCCACCTCTAATCCAATTTCCTTTTCAGGTACCTCCAGCAGAACCCTTCCACGGTGTGGGCAACCGGGAAGCAATAACCGCCCTCATACCTCCAAAAGCACTCAAGACCACTGTATTCATAATCAACCTCCCTCTTCAATTTCTATTATTCCTCTTAAATCGACTTCCTACACTAAACTTCCTCTTTTGGCTCCCTCCTCAAATGTCACCACAGCCAACGATTCTAGTGCGCAAAACACTGTCCCAGGTCTACTGAAACCTCGCTCTAAACTACACATTGGAGCCTTCAACGTACGCACACTATGCCAAATCGGTCAGCAGGCTTCCTTGGCTAAAACCATAGAATACCGTACCATTGATGTATGCTGTGTCTCCGAAACACTCATGCAGGATCCTAGCGTGGTCATTCACTTGACCTCACCTCGGTAAAACGGAGAGCCGACAAGATACACCCTCCGTGTATCTGGTGACCTGATGGCTGTAGTAATATCACTAAGTACGTGGGCGGAACAAGCGCTATTAAACATACAAGCAGCTGTGGAAACAGCAGTGACATCTACCAGTGATTTAAACCACAGGGTCGCAAAGAACCAAAGGATTTCTTCAAGGTCTATTGCACTGATGGATTCGCGTAAACTCATCCCCTCAGGCTCTGAACACGATGATGAGCGAAAGCAAATCAGATCTAGGTTAACCAAAAGTCTAAGGAATGATCGTGAGCGGTGGTGGGCAACGAAGGCAAAAGAGATGGAAAATACGGCGGTTATAGGTAACACCAGACAGCTCTTCAGACTCACAAAAGAAACTGGAACTAAAAAGTCAGGTGTAAGTGAGACTATCTCGGAAAAAGACGATGTTCTTATCTGCTCCCAGTCCAGACGTTTAGAACGATGGGCGGAACAGTATAAGGATCAGTTCAGCTGGCCTTCAGCTACTCTACAACTACCCTTTATTCCCAGACAGTGTGAGTGGAACATTGAAGTAGGTCCTCCAACTCTAGCTGAAGTTCAAAAGGCTATAGTTAATCTAGAACGAGGAAAGGCAACTGGTCCAGATGGTTTGGCCCCAGAGGTCTTCAAGGGTGAAGGTCCAATTTTAGCGACTAGGTTGACTAATATTTTAGCTAAAATCTGGGAGTTGGACATAATCCCCTCTGACTGGTCACAATCACTTATCGTCCCAATATATAAAAAAGGGTCAAAATCATACCGTGACAACCACAGAGGGATTAGTTTGACTAACATAGTATCTAAAATACCAGCCTCGATAATTATCGGACGCCTAACTAAGACTCGTGAACTGCAAACACGTGAAAATCAGGGTGGCTTCAGACCTGGTCGTGGCTGCATCGACCACATATTCACCGTTCGTCAGGTTCTAGAACACAGGCATACTTATCGGCGTCCGAAAATGGTGGTATTCCTTGACTTAAAAGCGGCATTTGACTCTGTAAACCGAGAGGTGCTGTGGCAGTGTCTGTCATTGAAGGGTGTACCTCAAAAGTATATAAACCATGTGAGGGTTCTTTACTCGAACACTACTAGTCGAGTGAGAGCTTATGGAGAGCTGTCATCTGCTTTAGCAACCTCAAGTGGTGTCCGGTGAGTCAGTTCACCTTCTCCGATTTTGTTTAACTTCATTATAGACCTACTGCTGGAAATAACGTTCTAGTCGTCTGGATTGTCGAACATTGATCTTCTACGAGGAAGTACACTTAATGACACAGAGTACGCAGATGACATAGTCCTGTTTGGTGAAGACGCTGATGAAATGCAGAGTGCTTTGATAGCACTGAGCAACAATGCCAGAATTTTTGGGATGTGTTTCTCTTCCTTTAAACGCAAGTTGTTGCTTCAGAGCTGGTCTGCGTCAACACCTGACACAAAGGATAGGGAGTGAAGTAGTCGAACGTGTTGACAACTTCACTTATCTTGGAAGTCTGATCAGCCCTAATGGGTTGGTGTCTGACGAAATCTCAGCACGGATTCGAAAAGCTCGTTTGGCCTTTGCCAACTTACGTCATCTATGTCGAGGGCGAGATATCCGTCTATCAATTAAGGGACGAGTAAACTGCGCGGCAGTTAGTTCCGTTCTACTATACGGCTGAGAAAGGTGGCTATTAAGAGTAGAAGATATTCGTAAGCTATTAATATTTGACCACGGATTGCTCGCATCTGCTGGGATCACCAGGTAAGTAATAGTGAGGTTAGACGCAAGGTATTGGGGAATGATGGTAAATCAGTAGATCAGGTTATGAATCTTCATCGACTGAGATGGTTGGGCTACGTGGTACATATGCCTGAACACCGATTTCCACGATGCGTAATGCTAACCGGTGTTAGGGATAATTGGAAGAAAGTTAGGGGCGGACAAACCAAAACGTGGCATCAGTGCTTGAAGTCACTAACTTCTAGTCTCAGCCATGTTGGTAGATGCAGACTACCTGGTTGGGGTCCGCGTGACTATCGTAACCAATGGTTGGCGACATGGCTCAGAATCGCTCTCAACGGTGTAAGCTTATACACTCTTTGTCTTACTTTAAACTAAGAGATTAAAATCGCTTCACATCTTTCTTTCTACGAACTAATTCTTTCTTCCTGTATTATGTCCTTATATGCAATCTTTCTTCTATATATTACTACCACTGAATCAACTACTTTTATGAATTCGGTGTTCATCTTGTTGTGCTAATGCAGTATGGCAACTTGGGCCGATGCATATACGTGTCTGGTCCTACGTTGCAGCTGACTTGTTTTGTATGTGGGCTGTGATACTACCCGGGTGCCCAGACCGAATTAGGTGGTTTTCTTAAGGGGCTACAATCCGAACTTTCGAGCTAAAGATCTCATTCACAAGGCAGTGGAGCAACATCAGATGAAGTACTATGGTAGCCAGTGACTAATAATTAGTTCATACACCATTTGTTCCCTCAGAATCCTGGAACCCCTATGCACCATTGGTTTCAAATCAGGGTTTTCCAACTTCCCTATGTAGATCCTCCATGTCCACTAGCCCGGTTAAAGCGCCGGACAGTCGCTCTTCGTCCTCTCAATTACGTAAACAACACCCCCGCCGCGAGAAGGCAGTGAGTAGGACATCCTTGGCAGTGGTTGTACACGCGTGGACATGTGAGAGCATTTCGCGAGGGAGAGCGGACTCTCCCCACCCTCGGCTGTACTAGGGCATTTCGGGGCCTTCATTCATTTAATCATATTTTATATTATGTACATCCCACTATCTATAAGGTAGCACGTTTTTTAACGCAATAATTATTTATAAATGACAGTTCAAAAGTACTGTCTCGTGAATTTTTTTATGATTTTCAACAAGAAATGTGCAGATAGACAGTAGAAAATGTAGAGTGACTGAAAACGGGGTAAATGATTTCTGTTTGAACTACAGGATTAGATAAGAACATATTGATTTCTACTATCTTAAATACTTCTCAGAATCCAAAATTCTGAATGAAAAGTGGTGAGTGAATAATATAATAGAACAGTAACCAAAAAGTATTGCATGCAGAATGATTAGACAAATATACTTACTAAGAAAGAAACGCTAAATTGTTATTTTGTTGAACACTTTGAAAATCCTCGCATTCATACACGATTTCTCCTTGGGATGTTTTAGTTTTTGATTCATCCTGAAGATAGCTTATAGGTGTGACGAAAGATTGATTTAGTGAATCTTGAACATGACGATAATCGGTTGGATTTTTTGGCAAAACTAATTCCATGTGCTCGTCCCCTACACTAGTTTGTTTGTTAAATATTTTTCTGATTGGACTCGGTTTTCCATGTCTTGTTTTAGAGTAATTTTTTAACCTCCTTTCCTCAAATGAGATAGTTGATTTAGGACTAAAAGAATCAAACTTCTGCCAATTAGGGAATCTCAGAACTTCACTGGCAAGATGTGGTTGGTCTTCAGTGGTGGAACGATCGCCAGAACTGTGTTCTGAGCTACGAAACGTATGACCGCATGAAGAAGAACTAGTACCTCGGCGAATACCATGGTACCGACAGGCCGTCGTCGAACCGTCAGCAGTCTTATGACGACGTCGACCTAAGTTTTGCAAAGGGGCTTCTGATAAAAACGATAGAAATGCAGATGTACTAAGGTTCTCTGAAAATGAATCCGCAGAATGATGATCCAATGGAAACTTTCCGGAACCACCCAAGCTACCTGTTGCACTGAGAACACCTCGAATACTAGAACTTATTGGATAACCATGAATGCCATCAGAGGTAGTATTACAAGTAACTGGGTTACTTGGAGATGGATCACCAGAAGCAAGAGTATTTTTCGACATGATACATGCACCAGCACCAGGTTGAAACTAAATAAAATAGAAAAGGGGATGATGAAGTAAGCTTCATAATATTTTCCTAGACTATAAGAGAAAAATAGAGAAAACACTTCCCATCATACAAGAAGGTATCATAAGAATCAGTCACATTCGAAAAAAAATAAAGCACAGGTCTGAAAGTACTTCGGTGAAAAAGTTACAAAAACAAAACATCAGTGTACCATCCAGGTTGCAGTATGGAGGTAAAAACTCAACAAGACTGTGGCAGAAATGAGAATCACTTGGATATCTTATACTATAAATTATATAATCTTGATAATTCAGAAGATATTTATATTCATGCCTTCCTGACTAATTACTAATACATCTTGTTACATTCGATTGACCTGAGTGTTTATGGAAAACTCCCAGAATACAAGGACGAAATGCGAAACTGAATTTTAACAAGTCTTTACGCACTTACATTAACTTAAGAAAATTCATATGAAATTGACAAAATTAAAAGTACATTAAACTTGTTTCATGAATAACTCATTCACAATCTAAATGTGACAGCTATTAATAATATACGGTTGCCTAAACTAAAGTAGGTGAAAAGGAGTTACAGCGTAAGACTTGGAGACCGAATATCTTATTCATTAGCCCAACGCTTTTACTAACAGTAGAATATACAATTAAATATAAAGAATTAGTAATACATCAATCAAAATCAATTAGCGTTTTCTACTAAGGAAAATTTAAAAATTCATGTAGCTACACAATTACGAATGCTTTTGAACTATTTCCTTTTAAGAGGATCATAACCAAGCTACTCACAAAGATCAAGATTATATTAGCGCTGATATTTTTAACATAATCATCGTAAGACTGCTCGTAGGGAAGATCTAGTCAATGATCAAGATACAAAAGAAAAACTGAGTATGAAAATGATGACTTTTGATAGTGTGAATCCTGAAAATAACATCCGGAAGTAACTTACACGGAGGGCGTCAATAGTACTGTTTGGTTTCGGTGGTTCATTTGTAAGAAACGGGCGGACACAATCGGGATTTTTTCGTAAAATAACTATAATATGATCAAGTGAAGCCGGACGATGTTGCCATTGGTGCTGACAACATTGATATATTAATCGAGAGCTGAAAAAATAGCAAGACAAACAAAAACACGTGTAACATATAGTATATTAAGTAGATAAATAACACAGCTTACGAGACAAAATATCATACTCAATTAAATAATATGGAACTTACATAGTAGTGTTTCTTGCTGCTAAAGGCAAAAATTCGATTATGCTAAAATCTTTACGTTTTACACGTTCCACAACTTCAACATCACCCAAACCATCATACGGAAACACTCCAAAAGTTATAATTTCATATAAAACAATTCCATATGACCAAATATCAGAATGAACACTAAATACACCAAACTGGACAGCTTCAGGAGACATCCAACGAATAGGGAGTTCACCTATAAAAATTGATAACCAAAAGTTGAAAGCAATAGAAACAAATGTAACACTGACACTGTAGTATGAGCATAGAAAACGTGCTGTCAGCACACTACACCATCTTCTAGTTTAGAACATCAGCATCAGGATATTAGTTTTACAATGTACTTACATCAATTTAAAAACTGATACCACCTATTTGACTAGAGACATGAAAAATCCGTTTCTAAAATGTTTCACACACTGATATATGCATATAACAGTTGTATTTAGAAATGTTGATAAAATAACGTAAATTATTTACGAAGTACATGAATGTACACTTTTCTTTAGACCACATTGCAGTGTGTGTTCCCCTACACGACTACCTGAGATAAACTAAGTCGGATGAGGTTTCGACGAGCACATCAGTATTTGAGAAATGTTTCATTTAAGAGTAAAACAACAGCTCTTTAGGAAAACAGGACTCAGAGTAACATGAACGAATGTTTTTAAATACATTATATGATGGTGGTTTGCAAAGAAACAATATACCGAACTGATTGTAAAGAACTAAAGCTTTTAGAAATACAAACACAGAATTATTCGAGCATACGCAGTAAAAATATTTAATTTAGTTTGAAAGTAAAAAACACTTATGGCACATAGATTGTACATGAATATTTTTAGAAGAATAAACAACAATATATAAACAAACGAAGATTTATTCCAACACTTACAGTTACGAGTAAAGCGATAATAACCTTCGTTCTCACTACTATTCATTTCACGAGTAAGACCGAAATCGCCAATTTTTACAACCCCATCAGAGCCAACAAGACAGTTACGACAGGCAATATCACGATGGATCAAATTTTTCCTGTGTAAGTAAGCCAAACCTTCAGCAATATCGATCGCCATACCAGTCAGTGTAGCTGGACAAACACCGTCATGATCAGGCACTCTAAAATAAAGTGGATGACGTATGGTAGCAATTAGCTTGTTAAAAGACAAGCGGTATAATTCATTTAAGTTATTCAACATAAATGTAAACCAACACTGCCAGTATACATGCTAGTTAATAATAATTAGTTTAGCTAATCGTAAATGTGCAGTGCATTCCGTGCTACTGTTCTATATGAATGTGTTTGTTGTTTTCTTTGTAATCGACTACAGTTTTGCGCTTTTGTACTAACCGTAGTTAGTTACATTTTAGAAAAAGATTATAATTATGGCTACATACATAGTGACCTATTTCCACCATACCCTGATAATACTCTGTGTGCCACAGTAGAGAGAATTATTTAAGAAATCTGTCTGTAGGTACCTAATTCCAAAAATGAGGAAGGCCTAGCAATGACGGCAGAAAAGGCTAAAGCTGAAGGAAATATGAGACAGATATAGATGTTACCGCATCAAAAGTCGAAGAAATCAGCATGATCATCAGAAAGATCAAGAGTGAGAAGGCAGCAAGACCAGACAACGTACAAGCTGAAGAACCAAAGTCAGACATACGAGCGACTGCAAAGATGCTCGATTACATTCTCTTTAGAAATGTTTGAGGAGAAGAAGAACAAGTACGAACAGACACCTGATCAAGATACTAAAGAAAATCCATATAAAAAATTATGGGAGATTGTTATAACTTGTGATCTGAATGCCCTGCTAATGTATAACCTGATGATACCACCAATGACAGACAGCAATGAATCATCGACCGGATAAATGACGTCTAAAACTTGTGCGAGCAGTCTAGGGTACTGCCTAGCCCAGCCAGTTAAGTCCAGAACACCAATCTCAGTCTCTGCAATATGAATGATTTATTTCAAACATACAGGGTTTATATACTAATCAAATAGACCACATCGTATCATAAAATAGGAAACAACATTTGTACAAGATTTGGCTAAATGTGGGAGGTAGTGATTAATAGACAAGGCATAATTCAAGAATGGGAAATGGTATAATAATAGTTCATAGGTCAAAATAAAGCTCATAATAAGAGGAGCATGAATATGAACAGGTTAGTTAATTAGCAATTATACGATAAAAATGTACGCATAGTATTGGTCCATAAATGGATCCCAAAAGTTCCCAATCATTATTCTTATCGGGACATAACAGAAATACAGAAACATCACACTATAATCAGTACCGAACAGTTTTCAGCTGAATGTTGCAGAACCAGAGGAAGGATTCAGTAAACGCCCAGTTTCGAAATCGACAGACCGTATTCTGTAAGGATCAGTCGTGTATAGGCCTAATCGCTACACTACGGACCATTGTAGGGCAATCAGTTGAATGAAATTCGTCACTAACATAAACTTCCTTGATTATAAGTAAGCGTTTTACAGTGTGGATGGAAAAATCTTATGAAACTTTTTCCCACACTACGGTGTGCTTAAGAAGCTTGCCAATATTGCATGTAACACTGTAAACTCGTACATGGAGGACAACGCACAGACTGATTATAAGTGAAGATCGGTAACAAACAAGATTGCTTACTCTCGCCTTTTATCTTTTCTACAGTTTTTGACTAAATTAAAAAAACCTCGAGATCTCAAGAGAAACACAGAATACAATGAACAGATTCGATCCAGGTAGACGATTTGGACTTCACAGATGACATAGCTCTTCCATCTCATACACAGCAACAATTGAAGGCAAAGACAGCCATAGTAACAACAGTTTATGGAGCATTGGGGCTCAACATTCACAAAGGAGAAAGCATGATCTTCAAATACAACACTGTTTATCAGCAAATAAGCTCCGGAATGGGTGGGAAGTTTCACGTATCTTGGCAGCATCATTGATGAAGACGTGACGACAATGATTAAAAGCAAAGGCAACAATCCAAAAGTTGAAGAATACATAGAGCTCAAAACAACTGTCAGAGTAGTCCATACAAACGTCGAGAAAATTTTATTGTACGAAGCTGAAACTTGGAGGACTACCACAACTACCATAATAAAAGTACAGCTTTTTAAAAACAACTGTCTACACAGGATACTCCAGATAAACAAATCAGGTGACATGTGTGGTGCATATGTATTCGGTCACTATTTTTTACGAATATTCATGTGTACAATTAAATAAATAACACGAAAACTCAAAATGTCATGTATGACTGACCTCAAGCAGTTGTACCTTGGGCACACTTTCAAGTCACTAAGACCACTTCTATCCCGATTTCCTTTTCAGGTACCTCTAGAAAAACCATTCCATGGTGTGAGCAACAGGGAAGTGATAACCGCTCTCATAATGGTAACAGCATCCATGTTCACTGTATTCGTAATCAGTCTCCCTCTTTCATTCCCATTGTTTCTCCTAAATTGACTTTCAACACAAAGCAGACAGATAACCACTTAATGTTAGCCTCATTTGTGTACACTAGTTTACATATGCCGAAGCACACACATTGAAAGAACACAAAGGAGAGTTAATGTTCTCATCTGTGACAATGGTCTTCAGAACGTGAGAATAAAAGATGAAGACATATAGGTTGAAGAGCGGTAAGACTAAAAGCAGCAAACCCAAGGTCTGAGGGCGAAGACGTACTGCTGACTGTACCTCCAAAAAAACCCTTCCATGGTGTGGGCAACCGGGGTGTGATAACCGCCCCCATACATCTAACAACACTCAAAACCACTGTGTTCATAATCAACCTCCCTCTTCAATTCTTATTATTCCTCCTAAATCCACTTTCAACTGTAAACTTGCAGTCACTGTAAAATCAGATGAACAGCTTGTACTCCTACCTAAATGGCTTTCTTCAAGATGAACCATTTGTATAATTTTTTTCTTGGAAGGCGGTCGTCCAGAACAGTAATATTTTCTTTCAGTGGTGGATTAAGCGTACTGATTTGACATCTTAATAAGTAATTATATCTTGTTACTTCATAATGTAAGTATTAAGCTTTGTAGTTATTATCATCCTAATTACTGACATAATGTAACCGGTTTCAGCGTGTCAGTACTCCAACGAAGTTCACTGCAATCATCATTTTTGAGAATTAACTATTTTAGAGAAGTCTCAGTCAAATTATTGCACATGTATATTTCCGTCAATGAGTTAAAGCGAATCTATAACTATGAATAATCACCGTACTTATTAGGCTTTATAGTTTTAAATCCTACCTCTTGTTGGCTAATAATTGCAGAATCATTGCTTACACCAAGAAAATGTCCTAGGCAATTCTTCTATAGATTATAGTGCAAAGTATGCACGTTTCATCAGTGACATTTTCAATTGACAAATTCATGATCACTCCTTAATAATGACATTACTTATGTCTTGCCGAATCATAAATTTATTTGATGGACTTTTGGTATTCAGATTACTCATTACATTTCTATATTTTTTCAATTATCTTTCATAGTTGCTGAACAAGCTATTAATTTTGTCAATCATAACCCTGATTACTTTAGCAATACTGAATATGCATTGACGCTAGACGTTCGTAATCTTACCTGTTCTCAGGACGTTGTACTAAATGATTACTTTGATTTACTGACAGCTTCGAAAAATAGGAAGATTATTGGAGTGATCGGTAAGTAGATTTTTTTCTGTTTAATTTTACGTGAAATATACATCTAATTACCTATTTGTCGTCATATGGTTCAATTTTTCCTGTCACTTTTATCGGTTTGGCAGCAACTAATAATGCTTGTATTAATACACTGTTTTGTGCTTTGAAGTACTGTTTGTTAGTTTTTTTTACTATTGCAAATTACACTATGATCTGTACGTTTCCAAGACATCATTAGTCTTTCATTAAAATAGGCACATTAGAATGCTTGAACGGTATTTCTAAATAAACAGCCGCAATAAAGTTGTGTTACTGACTGAGGTCTTAGGTGGAATTTAGGAACTGGACGTAATCCCATCTGATTGGTCTCAATCACTGATTGTGCCAGTCTATAAGAAAGGACAAAAGTCTTCTTGTGACAATCACAGAGGAATTAGTTTGACTAATATAGTGTCTAAAATATTAGCTTCAATAATACTTCGACGTCTAACCAAAGCTCGTGAAGAGCAGACTAGAGAAAACCAGGCTGGTTTTCGACATGGACGTGGTTGTATAGACCAGATATTCACACTACGTCAGGTCCTAGAACATAGACACACATTCAGACGCCCCACAATCGTAGTATTTCTCGACCTTAAGGCGGCATTCGACTCTGTTGATCGTGAGGTTCTATGGCAGTGTTTGTCACTGAAAGGAGTACCAAAGAAGTACTTTAACTTTATAAAATCTCTCTACTCGAACACAACTGGTCGAGTGAGAGCTTATGGCGAATTGTCATCAGGACTGATTACCTCAAGTGGTGTTCGTCAGGGCTGTCCACTCTCTCCATTCTTGTTTAACTTTGTCGCTGACGTGTTTTAGAGATAACTCTTTCCACATCTGAATTTCCAGGGTTTGAACTTTTGCAGGGAGATTCACTTGTTGACTTAGTTCTATTTGGTGAAGACGCTGACAAAATGCAGAGTCTTCTGACCACTTTAAGCAACAATCCAAGCATGTTCGGGATGTGATTCTCTTCCTCGAAATACAAAATATTGCCTCAGGATTGGGTTGCATCGACACCTGAACTAATGATAGGGAGTGAAGAAATTGAGCATGTCGATCGCTTCACTTATCTTGGGAGTATCATCGACCCTTGTGGTCTGTTGTGTGACGAAATCTCAGCACTGATACAGAAGGTTTGACTAGCTATTGCCGACATGAGTCATTTATGGTGTAGACGAGATATCCGTCTACCAACCAAAGGATGGGTTTACTGCGCAGCAGTTTGTTCCGTCCTACTTTATGGCAGTGAAAAATGCCCGATAAGCGGAGTGGATATTCGTAGGTTACTCGTATTCGACCATAGATGTCTTCGAAACATTGTTCGTATATCCTGGGACCACAGAGTAAATAACTCAGTTGTTAGGAAACGGGTACTAGGTAAGGATGGCGAATCAAATGATGAAGTAGTGAAACGTGTTACGTATGTCAAACCACCGACTGCCCCGACGTGTGATGTTCAATGGTGTAGGAGTAGGTTAGAAGAAAGCTAGAGGCGGTCAGACCAAAACATGGCACAAATCCATGAAGTCACTGACAAGTGGACTGAGCCATGTTGGTAGGTGTAGACTACCTGATTGGGGTCCGCGAGACGATAGCAACCGATGGTTAGAGACCTTGAATGACATGGCTCAAATCGTTTGCAATGATGCAGATGCATCCACTCTTTGTGTTCTCCCAAATTCTAATCTTTTGAATTCTTCATGTCCCTTTTTTCTCTTTCCAAATTTATTTCACTGGATTATATACCCTTGAATAACATCCTCAAAGCTTAATCTTTCCGATTACTGTTTATAGTTTCACTAACTCTACCACAATGGAATTTAAATAGACAATTGCATCTCTGTGCTAATGTGGTACGGCAACGTGCACGGATGTACGTACGCCCATCGTTGGTTTGGTGCAAGGGGTCACCATGTTAGACGGTGTTTCTACTTATGCTTAAAATTTGTGTTTGCTAAAAATAAACGGTTGTCAGAGCACAGTTGCAGCAGACGATCGCCATTACCTGTTCACTGGGCCGGAATACTAAAATACCCACCTAAACGTCTTTCTGTTTCGTTTAAGCTACCTATCTTGGCATTAAAGTCACCTGCTACGTGTACTATGTCTGGTCGTTTAGCTTTATGGAGGAGTTTAGACAGCTTTCTGTAAAAGTCATCTTTCACTTCATCCAGGCTGCAGTTGATGGGAGAGTAGGCAGAAACGACGAAAAGGCAACAACGTGTGTCTATATCCTTCCGAGTTCTTACGGAGCCGTTTAGCCGAACAGCACACAGACAACTGTTAACGGGGATCTACTCTAATAGCGCTTGTTCCGCCCTCGTACTTATTGATATTACTACAGGTCAAGGAGGCCTGTTGGCCGATTTGACACAGGGCGCGTACGTTGAGGGCTCCAATGTGTAGTTTGGAGCGAGGTTTCAGTAGACCTTAGACAGTGTTTTGTGCACTAGAATCGTTGGCTGTGGTGACATTTGAGGAGGGTGCCAAAAGAGGAAGTTCAGTGTAGAAAGTCGATTTAAGAGGAATAATAGAAATAAAGTACGGCAACGTGAACGGATGTACGTACGTACGTACGAAGTTCTACCTTGTTACTGACTGAATATTACAGTGGTTCAAGTTGCTACACTCTATCAGTACAAATCGGGAGATATTACAAACGAGAAAAAAGGCAACGACGTGTGTCTATATCCTTCCGAGTTCTTACGGAGCCGTTCAGCCGAACAGCACACAGACAACTGTTAACGGACTATGTCATCTGCGTACTCTGTGTCATTAAGTGTACTTCCTCGTAGAAGATCAATGTTCGACAATCCAGACGACTAGAACGTTATTTCCAGCAGTAGGTCTATAATGAAGTTAAACAAAATCGGAGAAGGTGAACTGACTCACCGGACACCACTTGAGGTTGCTAAAGCAGATGACAGCTCTCCATAAGCTCTCACTCGACTAGTAGTGTTCGAGTAAAGAACCCTCACATGGTTTATATACTTTTGAGGTACACCCTTCAATGACAGACACTGCCACAGCACCTCTCGGTTTACAGAGTCAAATGCCGCTTTTAAGTCAAGGAATACCACCATTTTCGGACGCCGATAAGTATGCCTGTGTTCTAGAACCTGACGAACGGTGAATATGTGGTCGATGCAGCCACGACCAGGTCTGAAGCCACCCTGATTTTCACGTGTTTGCAGTTCACGAGTCTTAGTTAGGCGTCCGATAATTATCGAGGCTGGTATTTTAGATACCATGTTAGTCAAACTAATCCCTCTGTGGTTGTCACGGTATGATTTTGACCCTTTTTTATATATTGGGACGATAAGTGATTGTGACCAGTCAGAGGGGAATGACCACGCTAGGATCCTGCATGAGTGTTTCGGAGACACAGCATACATCAATGGTACGATATTCTATGGTTTTAGCCAAGGAAGCCTGCTGACCGATTTGGCATAGTGTGCGTACGTTGAAGGCTCCAATGTGTAGTTCAGAGCGAGGTTTCAGTAGACCTGGGACAGTGTTTTGCGCACTAGAATCGTTGGCTGTGGTGACATTTGAGGAGGGAGCCAAAAGAGGAAGTTTAGTGTAGGAAGTCGATTTAAGAGGAATAATAGAAATTGAAGAGGGAGGTTGATTATGAATACAGTGGTCTTGAGTGCTTTTGGAGGTATGAGGGCGGTTATTGCTTCCCGGTTGCCCACACCGTGGAAGGGTTCTGCTGGAGGTACCTGAAAAGGAAATTGGATTAGAGGTGGCCATAGTGACCTGAGAGCGTGACCGCAGTGCCCAAGGGACAGCTGCTTGAGGTCTTTCACACACGACCTTTTTATGAGTAATTTTTGTGTTAGCTCTGTACTTGTTGAGACCTTACAGCCGGAGACGGATATCCGTGGGATAAAGCAGCATCGCTGTTATGCTGGTTGTCTGAGGGAAACACCTTACTGCTGTCACACCTCTGTACAGTTAGCAGCACGACTTCGTATTCGGACCTTGGATTTGTTGCTTTTCGTCTAACTACTCTTCAATCGACCTGTCTGGCATGGTAGGACCTTGAGGAACGGTTGTTCCAGCCAGTATAGCTCAGTTGCTTCATCACGATAGGCAAGCCCAACCCCACGTCAAGGTAGCAACAATGGTCGGGTATGGAATAGAAGCGTACTTTGAGAACGAATATGTTCGTATAGTTAGCATATGTTTCAGTAGCTATAAAATCAACATGTGTCATTAAAGTGAAATTTTACAGTTGTGTTAAACGTACTGTTGAGCTAAAACACGCCGAGATAGAAGATATGTCTTCAGATCACCATTTAGCATAAATTCCATGATTAAATAAAGATGATTTTCTTTCGGATACAAACAGATACCAACTAAACGTACAACATTTCGATGGTCTAGACTTCTCATTAGTTTTGCTTCCGAAAGGAAATCTGTTTTCCCTTCGTATGTAGCTTTGTTACCAATCACTTTAACAGCTACTGCTTCCCAACGCCCATTGCGTTTCGCTTCACCGCCATACACCATACCGAATGCTCCTTGACCAACACGACGATTCAAAACTATGTCGGCAGGTGGAATCTGACGGTAACAAGAAACACGAAACTAGACTTATTATAGTTACAAATCAAAGTGAAATGTAACTGATTAGGACAAAAAGAAAATTTTGAATATTTAAATTTGTTTTAAAGATTTATAGATATTTACCATATCATAACATCACTTCTATTGTTATTCACTTATAAAAGACTATCACTAGAGAACGTATGTGACATAAGGTTGTGCAAATTTTACTATCATTCATGCCAAAAGGAACCACTGAGTAATTAATAGTTGGGATAAATTCAGGCATAGATTAGAAGAATGAGATGTAGCTGAGAATTAAGAGCTATCATACATTTCAATACTCTGTGACACGAGAAGTAATTATGTATTTTAACAATCTGAAAATAGTTTATGTGAAAATTTAACTTTTGAGCAACCTGGTCATTATGAATATATCACGTTGTTGTAACATAACTTGCTAAAAAATACCCCAGAAATCGCAGTCGTGAATCGATATAAATATTTAAACCTTTGTGATAAGATAGAAGAGTTTTATCTGAAGCATCTTCAATCGTTTGGGAAGAATAATTTAAGATTGTTTGTTTGGTTTCAATATTCTCTATATGTTTTCTTAAACCGAAGATGTTCAAATAAATGGATAAAGATGAAAATCTTAATTCTTACATCTGAACAAAAACTATTTAGAAAACTGTGTAGTACTTATGACCGACTGCATAATAAAACTTATCAAATCACAATTACACAGGTGATTGGTATTACATTCAGTGATGAGTTTTAACATGAACAAACGGTAACTAGTATCAAGAGAGTAGTACTCTAAATGACAAAATGATTCACTAGTGACGTGTACTTACATCGATATCTTTTAGTTCATTACAAAGGTTTTCATATGGTTGACGAATCCTTAATTGTGTTTTCTTTAATTTGCGTCGATAGTAAACAATAAACAGGATTAAACATAATACTGTTACAGAGAGCACAATCGAAATAGTAGCTATCACGGTAGAACCAGTACAATTCACACCGAAAATTCTGCTTACGAATCCAAACACACAGTCATCATCATGTTCCGATCCATCATCTGGTGGTCCATCGTTATTACCCCAATTCACATCGTTAATCCAGCGTTCCCCCATTAGTTGGGCAAAACGCTCAGAAGCCGCTAAGTTAGTCAAATCAGCTGCATTCATTAAAGAATTCAAAGGCAGAGAATTATCGTCGCTTACAAACTCTTGGTCTAAACTCCATAATACAATGGGAACAGTGATATTGATTTGATGTTGTTTAAGAAGCCAAAAATCAGCAACACGCTCATTTAAATTATTAAATCGTAATTGAGAAGCTGATTTAATTTCATCTTTGCGGTATACATAGTGGAAACCTGTGTCCAACGAAATAACTGGATTTGTAAAGGAATCATCCATAATGAATCTTGACGAAATAGTATATCTAAAGTCTGTTTCAAAAACTAACTCTCGATATGCCTCCGCAACTGACATTGATTCAAAAACGGAAATAGCACTTGGATTTTGATGTAATAAGTGAATAAGTGCTGCAGCTAGAACAATAACAGATTCATATGTATGTATTGCGTAATCATGAGAAGAATGAACGTACTCAACATCTTCACTCTTCGTATTAAAAACGGAACGTTGTAACTCAGAATCTGAAGGTGAATCGTCATAGTTATTTGTAAAATGACTATTAAATAATGGATGCTTAAATTTACGAATCCGCAAATCTTGTGCATACTGAGTTGAATACCGACGGAATTGTCGACCAGTGCCCTGTTGCTTATGAGACGATGAGTCAAAAGCAAATAAATTCACATCGTTAAATGAAGAAGGCATAAATTTGTGAGCCAATGGTTCCATGATCAACTGATGTCCAACTGTAAAAGTCCACGAAGTTATGTTATGCATTTCTTCATGAGTACATTCTTTGGGATGCACATCAGGTGCCTGCCACCAATTGCTCGATAACCAAGGATTAAGAAACCAGACGTAACCTGCATCAAAATGCATTCCTAAGTGATATGCAGCACATAATATGATGGCTGTACCTTTAGCGAAATATTCAACCATGAAGATACGACTAGTACGATCGTTCATAAGTTTCAAAGCCTAAAAGAATTGGAATTAACTACTATCATTGTCAAATACGTAGTAAACGACAAAAAAATTATCAACAAAATGTTTATAGATTCAAGGCCATCTTATAGTAAAACGTCCGATACCTCGGTTCGGGTCCTGGAGATAGTGCAGTTTAGTGGGCTCAGACGTTGTCGGACATGTTACAGAATGAAAGCTAGTGGTGGTCCTAGTGTAATTTTCCTTTACTTCCTTTTTAAAGGTGAGAGGAACTTCTCTGATTTTCACTGGATAAATGAAATAGCTAAGCTGCTTTGAAACTATAAAATTTTTATTGCATGGCCGTAAAGCACCAAAACACTTTTTCCAACAACCGAACCTCCTTAAATCACCCGGATTATATTTCATTATTAATAAATTCTGCTTTAAAAACAGAATGTAACACCATACTAAACATTTCATTTCCCGAGATCATGCACTTGTTTCAGCCACTGATAACAGACTTCAATATTTGAAAAACATAATATTATTAATTACTATCAGTAAAACTCGGTAAATCAGCGATTCTTTCCTGAACTCAAACAAACTCTAAAGCAAAGCTCAGAAAGATCCTTGACCTTATGTCGAAGATGAAACGATGAAGTGGTTAGACAGTATTGTAAACATAGTTGATATTTCTTTTAATAACCTTGAGATGCGTCACATAAGTTTGAAAAAACAGCTTTTTGTTTTTGTGATTATTCTTTCAGAAATTAACATTATGTATACCACTGATTCCATGCATCCACAATAAAATAAAGAGAAAACTTGAACTTGTGGAAAACACTAGACTGTGTTTCCTTTTTTACTGTGAATTAGACCCTTATTAATATATTATATGGTCATTGAATTATGAATCACAACTTTGTACAATTCATTTTGGCCAGATTAAGTGGACGATATTTACGACTAAATACGCGACAAGTGTACCTTAGGTTAAATAAATCTGTATATGGTGAGTCACATTTAAAGCATGTCACTTGTCTATGTACAAATTTCTCAAAATGTCATCTCATCCTCTGTTCTCAGAAGGTATATTTACACTTTATATTGTCTGAGTTTCGGGAAATATATAAAACAAATACTCCATCAATTAACGCAATTACTTAAGGTTATAATAGCTCTTATCATGTGAATCTTAATGAAGGTAATTTTAATGATCGTAGCAGTGGCTAAATGATTAATGTTTTAGAATTTTAGTTACTTGGTCCCGAGTTCAAATCCCGTTTCGCCTATATAAGTTTAGGGAACCAGGTTGTACTATTAGTCCTGACGATTCGTGTAGCTTAAATACAGGTGTACTTGAAGAACGAGTTTATTTATTTATTGTACTTAATAGTTTAGCGAGAAAAATCCAAATATAAGATTTTAAAATCCAATGGATAAAATTTACTTTGAATATATCTACAATATTTCGAGCAAATGACATACTTGATGTACAGTAACGTATGTGAGTTGATTTTCCTTCATCACAAAGTCAGCAATAAGATCTATACCATTTGACTGAAAAATCAAAGGATCAAAAAAATGATCGTCTTCACGAAACACAGCAACACGACGCCAACCCCAACTACTGAATAATCTAATCAAGATTAAGCTAAACAAAAAAAAGTGAAACAGTCAAATTAATTCCCTGATTATATTTCGCGATGTATAATAAGGAAAAAAGGGAATAGAATGTAGAATACATGATAACACCTGTCAGTGAAAAAACAAGTTTTCAATAGTATATATGCACAGGAAATCTACATTAGTTAATTCTAAATGTGAGGTGTCCATGAATGATAACTCTTATGACAATCTAGTTTTATAAATGCTGTTTACTTCCCATACAAATGAAGGTACACGAGTATGTATAGTGAGAGCTAAAATCAATCTGAACGCTAATCAAATACAAAGCAGTACTGATTACAATACAGCAACTACGTACAGGTTTCTTTATGAGATTGAATTACACTCAATGTCTAAAAAACTAAAAATACTACCAGACCAAAATTTTACCGCAATCGGATGTGAACGGAGTGTCTACGCAATAAATGTACCTAACACTAGATAATTAATGCTGAGTAAAAAATTCATGTCGTAGATTACAGGTTTAGACAATAAAGTTACTTGTTCAGTATTCTATGGAGGTGTTAACAGAGTTTGTGTTCGTACTTGAGTAAGAATCATATCTTAATATGTCATATTTAATGATAAGTTTAAATTTACGTCAACGCCTTTAAAACGTTTTATTGAGATATTTAGTAACCGTGACTAAATCTTAAGCAAAAGATTGAAAAAGATAAGAGACACCTTGTTAGATTTTTATGAATAGCGTTGATAAGCTTTTTAGATGAACAGTGCATGAAATCTGCCTAGAGTATGTAACCAAATTTCAGTCGATCTGATTTGACCAGGTGAACAAAAATACAAAAAGCTAGGTAGAATAACACTCACTAGAACCACGTACCTCACATGTGTCATTGAGGGAACAGTACGAAAAAAGTACGGATACTGATGACGTTTTGCAAAACGGACTGATTCAACGGTTGGACTAACAACAATCTGGCGACGCATGTTAGCTACCTCAACAACTGGTTCTATTGAATCCGAACACAGAGCAGCTAGTTTGTGAAAAACAAGTGATATACGGATCATTTTAATAGTGGTAAATTTAAGCAATCTAAAAGGAACTAAAGTAATCTAAGTGACGAATAAATTTAATAATTTATGAATAAGGTAAATGGTCTCAAGAACCAGATGGTGTAAACAATCATTTCAACAACCGGATATTTTAAATAAGTTTTAATCTCCATGGTTTGAAAATTGTTCAGGTGACAAATCTGACATTTTACCTAGTCTTTCATCCTGTTCAAACCTTTATTTACTCTATATAAGGTTAATCAGTGTGAGTTACGTTTAAATTTTTTTGAGTTTACTTAGAGAAAACATGTTTTAGGAAGATAGGAACATAGAGTAATGATCATTTTACCAAAACTAATCAGAATAAATGTAATAACGAACACAAATATCAATGACAGTACAAAAAAAGATACGCTTACAAATAAAACTACCATAACCATAAATGAATTGAGACCAGTTAAAATAGTGAACGCCTGTTTATTAATGAACGAGTTCCTACAAAACACGGTACTTCAGATAGGTGAAATAATGTATTCAGACAAAATGGAAAAGACCTATTTACTTTAATCTATATTTTACCTACAACAAATAAATTTTATTTATTGAACTTTTACTGGTGCTTTATTCGTTTGTAATATCTCCCGTTTTGTACTGATAGAGTGTAGCAACTTGAACCACTGTAATATTCAGTCAGTAACAAGGTAGAACTTCGTACGTACGTACGTACATCCGTTCACGTTGCCGTACTTTATTTCTATTATTCCTCTTAAATCGACTTTCTACACTGAACTTCCTCTTTTGGCACCCTCCTCAAATGTCACCACAGCCAACGATTCTAGTGCACAAAACACTGTCTAAGGTCTACTGAAACCTCGCTCCAAACTACACATTGGAGCCCTCAACGTACGCGCCCTGTGTCAAATCGGCCAACAGGCCTCCTTGACCTGTAGTAATATCAATAAGTACGAGGGCGGAACAAGCGCTATTAGAGTAGATCCCCGTTAACAGTTGTCTGTGTGCTGTTCGGCTAAACGGCTCCGTAAGAACTCGGAAGGATATAGACACACGTTGTTGCCTTTTCGTCGTTTCTGCCTACTCTCCCATCAACTGCAGCCTGGATGAAGTGAAAGATGACTTTTACAGAAAGCTGTCTAAACTCCTCCATAAAGCTAAACGACCAGACATAGTACACGTAGCAGGTGACTTTAATGCCAAGATAGGTAGCTTAAACGAAACAGAAAGACGTTTAGGTGGGTATTTTAGTATTCCGGCCCAGTGAACAGGTAATGGCGATCGTCTGCTGCAACTGTGCTCTGACAACCGTTTATTTTTAGCAAACACAAATTTTAAGCATAAGTAGAAACACCGTCTAACATGGTGACCCCTTGCACCAAACCAACGATGGGCGTACGTACATCCGTGCACGTTGCCGTACCACATTAGCACAGAGATGCAATTGTCTATTTAAATTCCATTGTGGTAGAGTTAGTGAAACTATAAACAGTAATCGGAAAGATTAAGCTTTGAGGATGTTATTCAAGGGTATATAATCCAGTGAAATAAATTTGGAAAGAGAAAAAAGGGACATGAAGAATTCAAAAGATTAGAATTTGGGAGAACACAAAGAGTGGATGCATCTGCATCATTGCAAACGATTTGAGCCATGTCATTCAAGGTCTCTAACCATCGGTTGCTATCGTCTCGCGGACCCCAATCAGGTAGTCTACACCTACCAACATGGCTCAGTCCACTTGTCAGTGACTTCATGGATTTGTGCCATGTTTTGGTCTGACCGCCTCTAGCTTTCTTCTAACCTACTCCTACACCATTGAACATCACACGTCGGGGCAGTCGGTGGTTTGACATACGTAACACGTTTCACTACTTCATCATTTGATTCGCCATCCTTACCTAGTACCCGTTTCCTAACAACTGAGTTATTTACTCTGTGGTCCCAGGATATACGAACAATGTTTCGAAGACATCTATGGTCGAATACTAGTAACCTACGAATATCCACTCCGCTTATCGGGCATTTTTCACTGCCATAAAGTAGGACGGAACAAACTGCTGCGCAGTAAACCCATCCTTTGGTTGGTAGACGGATATCTCGTCTACACCATAAATGACTCATGTCGGCAATAGCTAGTCAAACCTTCTGTATCAGTGCTGAGATTTCGTCACACAACAGACCACAAGGGTCGATGATACTCCCAAGATAAGTGAAGCGATCGACATGCTCAATTTCTTCACTCCCTATCATTAGTTCAGGTGTCGATGCAACCCAATCCTGAGGCAATATTTTGTATTTCGAGGAAGAGAATCACATCCCGAACATGCTTGGATTGTTGCTTAAAGTGGTCAGAAGACTCTGCATTTTGTCAGCGTCTTCACCAAATAGAACTAAGTCAACAAGTGAATCTCCCTGCAAAAGTTCAAACCCTGGAAATTCAGATGTGGAAAGAGTTATCTCTAAAACACGTCAGCGACAAAGTTAAACAAGAATGGAGAGAGTGGACAGCCCTGACGAACACCACTTGAGGTAATCAGTCCTGATGACAATTCGCCATAAGCTCTCACTCGACCAGTTGTGTTCGAGTAGAGAGATTTTATAAAGTTAAAGTACTTCTTTGGTACTCCTTTCAGTGACAAACACTGCCATAGAACCTCACGATCAACAGAGTCGAATGCCGCCTTAAGGTCGAGAAATACTACGATTGTGGGGCGTCTGAATGTGTGTCTATGTTCTAGGACCTGACGTAGTGTGAATATCTGGTCTATACAACCACGTCCATGTCGAAAACCAGCCTGGTTTTCTCTAGTCTGCTCTTCACGAGCTTTGGTTAGACGTCGAAGTATTATTGAAGCTAATATTTTAGACACTATATTAGTCAAACTAATTCCTCTGTGATTGTCACAAGAAGACTTTTGTCCTTTCTTATAGACTGGCACAATCAGTGATTGAGACCAATCAGATGGGATTACGTCCAGTTCCTAAATTCCACCTAAGACCTCAGTCAGTAACACAACTTTATTGCGGCTGTTTATTTAGAAATACCGTTCAAGCATTCTAATGTGCCTATTTTAATGAAAGACTAATGATGTCTTGGAAACGTACAGATCATAGTGTAATTTGCAATAGTAAAAAAAACTAACAAACAGTACTTCAAAGCACAAAACAGTGTATTAATACAAGCATTATTAGTTGCTGCCAAACCGATAAAAGTGACAGGAAAAATTGAACCATATGACGACAAATAGGTAATTAGATGTATATTTCACGTAAAATTAAACAGAAAAAAATCTACTTACCGATCACTCCAATAATCTTCCTATTTTTCGAAGCTGTCAGTAAATCAAAGTAATCATTTAGTACAACGTCCTGAGAACAGGTAAGATTACGAACGTCTAGCGTCAATGCATATTCAGTATTGCTAAAGTAATCAGGGTTATGATTGACAAAATTAATAGCTTGTTCAGCAACTATGAAAGATAATTGAAAAAATATAGAAATGTAATGAGTAATCTGAATACCAAAAGTCCATCAAATAAATTTATGATTCGGCAAGACATAAGTAATGTCATTATTAAGGAGTGATCATGAATTTGTCAATTGAAAATGTCACTGATGAAACGTGCATACTTTGCACTATAATCTATAGAAGAATTGCCTAGGACATTTTCTTGGTGTAAGCAATGATTCTGCAATTATTAGCCAACAAGAGGTAGGATTTAAAACTATAAAGCCTAATAAGTACGGTGATTATTCATAGTTATAGATTCGCTTTAACTCATTGACGGAAATATACATGTGCAATAATTTGACTGAGACTTCTCTAAAATAGTTAATTCTCAAAAATGATGATTGCAGTGAACTTCGTTGGAGTACTGACACGCTGAAACCGGTTACATTATGTCAGTAATTAGGATGATAATAACTACAAAGCTTAATACTTACATTATGAAGTAACAAGATATAATTACTTATTAAGATGTCAAATCAGTACGCTTAATCCACCACTGAAAGAAAATATTACTGTTCTGGACGACCGCCTTCCAAGAAAAAAATTATACAAATGGTTCATCTTGAAGAAAGCCATTTAGGTAGGAGTACAAGCTGTTCATCTGATTTTACAGTGACTGTATTTAAAATCTTTTGAATCTTGGCGAGATATATTGGTAAAAACAATTTCATAGCAAAATATACCATCACACTGAAATGTCTAGAAAATACAAGTTTGAGACAGTCGATTTAGATGTTGAATTAAGACCACTGTAACAGTCAGTAAAGTATATAAACTGTTAATAAAGGACTTATAAATACAAACGATGAAGACAAACGCACGAAAAATGGGAATTGTCGAAACATTTAATATTCTTGAATATATCAGAAAAATTATAAGTTGATATTAATTGCTTGTTCAAGTTTTAAGATATCCCCTCTGTTGCGAAAAACAAGCCGTGCAATTATAACAAAAACGGTATTTATATTTGTATCCCCAACAATACTGTATCATCTGTACTGACTAATAGCAGCTGCACTAAACGTAATCCTACATCAAGTTTTGTACTTATATTAATTGTGTTCATTATATTTGGTAACAGAAATGTCAAGATACAGGGAATTAATGCTAAGGAAATAGTGCAAGAAGTTGTTAAATCCATAGCATTTAACTTGAATCATAACCAAAGATATAACTTATCTGTCCATGCTATAATTTCCCAATTATCAAGTGACGAGATTAAGACCCACTTCTGTCGGAATGAACTAGGTAGCACTGGAAATACATACGTACTAAATGTTGTTTACAAGTTGGTGCATAAACTTGGAAAGCAGTTATTTTCCTTAACATTTGATTACAACGTCGAAATAAAGATCTACATGTAAAAAAACCACCGAATAAAAAGTTCTTAGCTGAAACTTAGGTAGTCTATTCTAATCACAGTTGTTATTTGGTTATTTTTAACTGAAACTTACAAATTATAATCGGATATATTTTGTATAAAACCGTGTACATTGATGATAATTTATGGGCTTAAATGCATCAGCTTCATCTTTATGGTGTGACCTGACGGTGATTTAACAAAAAACGATTGGAATGAAAGAAGACTGAGTATAATGAAGAACGTCTTACCATGGTCTAAATTCGAAACTACCCATTTCCCATAGAAAGCGAAAAGTCCAGCAACCGTAAGATTTAGCTTTTTGTTCCAACCTTTTGTCCACGAAACCCAACGAGTCGGAGACAAGCGAAGCCATTTGCAAGCAATATCTCTATACTGAGACTGTAGATCCTGACCAGAGTTCGGATCTAAGTTGTTAGCCTGGAAATATTGATTAAAGTAAAAATAAAAGTATGTTTTTCAAAGTTCGCCTAGCGAAATTCAGTCTACTAAGAAAATCACTTACTAATTTCAGTAGATCTTCATACTCCGACTGGGAAAAATGCATCCGGTCAACTAATTGATAAATGAGAGGCACAGTGTTCTTTAGCTTGGCCCATGATAATTTTGTAGCTTGCTGTGACTCAAACTGGCAAAAAGATGACTTCTTTGAATTCTGAAGGTAGGATAAAGTGCCTGAATTTTGTCGACTGCAGTGATAAATCTTATCAAGTGAAGTTTTTATTACGGTTGAGTTTAAATGGTTTTTCTTCCCCAAAAAGTGCAATCCCGAAGGTAAAGGAGGAGAGCCAAGTTCATGTGGATACCAATTAATAATTGACATGACAGAAGATGAAGAGTGTAAGTTTGGAAAGTGTGCAAAACCTTTAGATGAAATTTCTGATCCAGTGAAATAACGGATGAACTCTAACAAATAAATGATGTAAAAATATGATTAGAATTAATATGGTGAAACTTAAAAATAAAAGATTATACTAAACTTTACGAAAAGTCGTAAGATATGTTTTGGATGTTAAAATTACTGGTAACTGAAATAGTGATTTTAAGGTTACGAGATTGCAGTATTTCTTGATAAAACAAATCAGATGTTAATGTCCAGTGGCCTTAAAACGTATATCAACGATAAAATTCTTTTCGTAATATATTGGAGATTACAAACGAACCACTTTAGTACCGGAACTAATGTTAATCACGAAATTAAGAACAGATAGAGTCGAACTGATAATAATAATTGCTTGTTTAAATATACAACTTTAGTCAAGTTTACGGTCGAAAATGAACCCCAATATTAACTCAAAACAAGCTACAAACGCACTAACTGTTGTGAAGAAACAGGTATTGTGAAAGTTGAGACTGACTTTCAAACTATTATTAATTACAATTTTGTTTTATAGTTAGTTCGCTTACATATACCATTCATTATAAGCTTTCATTTGACTCACGAACTATTGTCATGCGACATACTATTCGTAATTTGTTCCAGTCTGTTATTTAATCTCCCCTATCTATAGTTTAGTCATGTATACTTATTACTATTCATTTCATGGTGTGATGCAGTCCATTGAGTTTGCACATAGATAACGTCTGTTTGAAATATAGATAAATGCTGGACACCGGAGCAAGCGAACAGTGGGTTGCCAACCCAAGGTCGATGGTGCTGGCCGGGCGTGTAATTGGTCAAGTCACATAAACTAAGCTATAGGGTAAATAATAGGACAAATTAGAATCAGGATTTTGATTGGTGGCTTGTTACGTGATTTTGGCCAGTGGTCACGAGATATAATATTGGCCACTGAATCACAACTCCAATATTTTGCTGTTCTTAAAGGAGATAGTCTGACAGCTTTCGGAGTAAGGCATCAATAATTGACATATTTTTTTGCTTCTGTTTATATTAGTTGATTTTAGTAGCCTTACGATAAGTGCAAGATGAGCCTACTACTTATGTACTCAGACCAGTAGTTTAACGCTGTTGTTTTGAAACAATCAGTCTCTAAAATATTCCAAGTCAATGCTCAAAACGCAACTGGCCTTGGAGTATAGCAAAATATTTATACATAACTAATCTTTTTACAGCTCAGTTTGATACCAGATCATGTCGAATTTTTTTCTCGTAATAGAAGTTGATTTAATTTTGGTGTTTATAAGAAACACGTCTCATCAGAAATGATGCTCGATGTTCACGAACCTACAACAGTGGTGTCAGTAAGATATAGAGCTATATTTCAGGGCAACAATTATTCAGCGCACCAATGGTATTACTTTACCAAGAGGTCTTTTCAAAATGCTGTTTACAATTAATGGGACTTAATTAGATTACGAATAAATAATGAGTAATAGTAGATTAGTTTATAATTGCCTGTCCATGTATTTACTCGGAAGAACGAAGAATATTGATCTATAATAAAGTTTAATAAATACTACAGTACTGAAAGAGAAATAAACTTACCATTGCGGAATTTGGAAGCATAGCACATATCCAGATCACATTCTGATTGAACTACAGTTTGTGATAATGGAATTTGAGAATTAGTTGGTCCATGTTTATCACGACAATCAGACTGTGTCTGTAAAAATATTGATGTATTAATCTTAACTAAGCTTTTTGTAAAGAAAGTTAACTGGAAAATGCACAGTACGTAAAAGTTATCTAGATGAATGGATAACAAAATACGAATATCTCTATAGTTCAAAGCAAAGCTAAGAATTTACATACCGAAGGCTAAAAATTAATATAAAGCTGTAAAAACAGTAATGAATGTCACAGATATTAAACTACTAGATCGTTTTATACAGGAGTGATCAATAATCATTAAGATCAAATCAGATTTAAACTTATTTAAGTTTTAATAACCATTTGAAAATTGAACTTGATAGCACATTATTTGAGTATCTAAGGATAAAAAATGCATGAGTGCAAATAATGCAAAAAACCTTACGCCAGTAAGCAGTGTGGTGATTTGTTTTCATGTAAACATAGTACGTTTAGCGTACTCTGATTTCTCGAATTGACAGCACTGATATCCGAATCTTAGTATTCAACGTAGTACGCATAAGAACCGAAGACATTTGCCTTTCGATTGAATACACTAGTTTAATGTTTTGGTATGCTTCATCTCAATACTTTTCAGCCTACTCTTACGTTAGCTGGCATTGTTTATCAAGGTAGGTAGCAGATAGACATGTGTAACACACAGTCAGACAAGTCTCATTAGTCAACTTATCATGTTTACACTACATTTGTATACTATCAGGATTACTCATTTTGACACCTCTATACAACAGTCAGGCTTTAAAGACATCTACAATCAAATACTACTATTATTGTACATATGAAGAATTTACCCATATTTTCAGGACGGACCAATCAGTATCAAGCTGCATGGAACCTAGTGAAACTCAATATTTGAATGATATTCGAATGAGCATTCGAATGATAATGTGCATGAAAAAACTTTTTTTACAATAATTCATTTAGGTCAAACAGTTATAGTGAACGTCAAACCTGGGATTATGTGTTAGTAGGACATATATATGATTAAAGCGTCCCATACAGGAGGCACGGACACGCTGATTGGCTATTTCTTAACCAATCAGCGCTAGAGGATCCCCCGGATAACTAGAATATTCTTATGTGAAAATTACAAATATAATGTTTTTTATTGTGATTGATACTTCCATCCAAACTTGTTATATAATTACGTTCCTGTTCAATCATGTTCTGATTCGGGGACTTGTCGACTGAAGTAGTGTCAAAGAATACTAAGCAGTAACAGTAAGTTAATCGCAATAAGAAAAATCCTAACACTGAATCGACAGTAAGTTGTCATATAGCATTAGCACGACAAAACAAAATTAAAAAGATTAATGTTGAAGGAGTCAAGTTGATGTAAGTCCTCCGACTCTTTACGAAGTTGAAAAAGCTATAGGAAATCTGAAGCGTGGGAGAGCAGCAGGCCCTGACAGGTTTACCCCTGAGATTTTTAAGGATGGCGGTCCAGTATTAGCAGCGAGATTGACTGAGATCTTAGGTAGGATTTGGGAACTGGACGTAATCCCATCTGATTGGTCTCAATCACTGATTGTGCCAGTCTATAAGAAAGGACAAAAGTCTTCTTGTGACAATCACAGAGGAATTAGTTTGACTAATATAGTGTCTAAAATATTAGCTTCAATAATACTTCGACGTCTAACCAAAGCTCGTGAAGAGCAGACTAGAGAAAACCAGGCTGGTTTTCGACATGGACGTGGTTGTATAGACCAGATATTCACACTACGTCAGGTCCTAGAACATAGACACACATTCAGACGCCCCACAATCGTAGTATTTCTCGACCTTAAGGCGGCATTCGACTCTGTTGATCGTGAGGTTCTATGGCAGTGTTTGTCACTGAAAGGAGTACCAAAGAAGTACTTTAACTTTATAAAATCTCTCTACTCGAACACAACTGGTCGAGTGAGAGCTTATGGCGAATTGTCATCAGGACTGATTACCTCAAGTGGTGTTCGTCAGGGCTGTCCACTCTCTCCATTCTTGTTTAACTTTGTCGTTGACGTCCTTTTAGAGATGACACTTACTGAGCAGCAGTTCGTTCCGTCCTACTTTATGGCAGTGAAACATGGCCAGTAAGAGTAGAGGATATTCGTAGGTTACTAGTATTTGACCATAGGTGTCTTCGAAACATCGCTCGTATATCCTGGGACCACCGAGTAAGTAACTCAGTTGTTAGGAAACGGGTATTAGGTAAGGATGGCAAATCAATTGAGGAAGTAGTGAAACTTAATCAGTTGAGATGTCTGGGACATGTGCTGCACATGCCCGACCACCGACTGCCCCGGCGTGCTATGTTTTATGGTGTAGGAGTAGGTTGGAAGAACGCTAGGGGCGACTAGACCAAAACATGGCACAAATCCATGAAGTCACTGACAAGTGGACTGAGCCATGTTGGTAGGTGTAGACTACCTGGTTGGGGTCCGCGAGACGATAGCAAGCGATGGTTAGAGACCTTGAATGACATGGCTCAAATCGTTTGCAATGATGCAGATGCATCCACTCTTTGTGTTCTCTCAAACTCTAATCTTCTGAATTCTTCATGTCGTTTATTTTCTTTCTAAATCTATTCCACTGGATTATACTCCTTGAATAACATCATCAAACCTTAGTGTCCCCTATCTCTACTTATACCTTCAGTACCTCTACCACTATGGGATTTGAATCGATAACTGAATCTCTGTGCTAATGTGGTATGGCAACTCGAACTGATGTACGTACGTACGAAGTTCCACGTTGTTACTGACTGACTGACTGATTGAAGGAGTCAAAACAACTGGGGTAGCAAGAATATTGAGGAAGTAAAAACACTGAATATGGTTTAAAAAGATGAAATAAAAATTGTATGCATAAAGGGATACTGAGATTCAATGTCTAGAATAAGACAAAGAAGGAATACATCAATACCAATGCGACAGATCTTGAGCCATGTCACACATTTCCATCCAGTAATCGCGGTTATAGCCTGTACGTACTAAAATAGTCAGACCAAGAATCACCGACTTTACATGGGCCACTTTTTTCAACTTACTTTTAGACCAGCTAACAGTGGCTGTCTATTTAGGCAGTTTGGTGTTGTACTCCACTTGGTTACAGCTTACGTTCTTCCTAATAATCACATGAGCATCACTCACTAATTATCACCTTGTAGAGATCTATTTAACCGAAAGCATCGTGTAATACCACATCACCTGTGTTTGTGGATCATGGGCTTTGTCAATTTCAACAACTTTTAATCACTCTATTTCAAATAAGTCGTTTTCTGTCCAATGCTAAACTCCATAATTGCAACTAAATTGTATGCACGCACCATCAGCCGGTAAATATATAAATAATTGGTTTATTGTACACCAAAACATTTAGTCTAGAGCATGTCTCTCATGGATCCACTCATATTTAACAAATAACTGTTAGTCATCTGTCCAAAATTCCCACAACTGTCATCAATTTTACGTATTAAATGAATTTTCGATAACCAATCATATGTATTAAAAGTTTTATTACTTCCTATCACAGGTAAACAGTAATATGGTGAAGAAAATCTCCCCGTAACTAAATAAACCATGTCAAAATTAACAAACTGGAACATTTGTTGGAATTCTTAATCTATTCTTTCAATTAGCCTGCTAGTGCAAATTCAATTAGAAACCAACTCATACGGACAGTATACCGGCATAAACGTCAAATGACTTTCAAGTTTGAACCAAAAGTAATACCAATATCAACATCGACACAATATTGGTTGTTTTTTCTATTTCTAAACACAAATACTTATACCTGGACCACCATTCCAAAAGATTTACCTAGGTAAGCAATCAGATGTTGAGACCCTTCAACGCTTCACATTAGATATGGTATTTCCAAACTTGCTTACTTGGCAATTTCTTCCAACTCATTCGCTGCGGAAAGACAGCGTCACCGTAGACGCTTACTCTGAAGAAGACATCTAACTGGCTTAATACCCTCCATACAGTTGACGGTATGACTTATTCCTCAGGCCTTACGCTGCAGATTTTAGTTTTGCCGCTCTCTAACCGAGCTGCCCGAAATGGTAAGACACAACAGAATGAGTGTTCCATCCAATATGGCTAGATGAGGTTATCACGATAAGCAAACGCGACCACCATATCAAGGTGTTAGCTGACGACTGAAACGCAAGATGAATCTGAAGTGTACCAGAGCATAATCAAATTTTAGACAGGTACTCCAGAAAGTGATAGTCTTGTGCACAATCATGCAAACGACTTTCTTCTGAACTCTAGACCATCAACCTGAGTACTGAAGTCCATAGCAAGCATCAAAATATCTATTGGACGCAGATCGTCGTCATTACTTAATTGAGCCACAAACCGTCAGTGCGTTGGTGAAGATTAAGAAAGTCATTGCTTCTCATGATAGTTCATTCTTGCCCTGATGAAATCACTTCGTCTGTTAGTATATATAATACCACCTTCTTCTGGTGTTCAGTGTAGCTGATATTAGAGAGATTGGATGGTGATTCTACAGGGTTCTGAGAAGGCTCATATAGGACAGTTTACGAATAGACAGACAGTGAATGAATCTGCAGTGATTCACTAGGATTTTTGAGATACGACGAGCAACAGTGCTGAGACTCCGAATTTATCACCATACTTCTCTGTTGTTTAACCTGAATTAAAGTACGAACGGTGAAGTCAGCTAAAAGTTCCACGCACGATTTCAAAACAATTGGATAATTCTGGAACATCACTGTCAAAACGTTTTGATTTAGATATAGTTTGACGAAATGATCGTAAAAATATATCAAAAGTGTTCCAATTAGCTCAAGTTAAACACCCAATAGAAAGTAGTATTAAATTACATAACATCTTAAACGGTTTAGTTGCTGTAAAACACCACATTGAATCCAAGACATAAAACGTAAAATTAATACACGCAACAAACCTCTGTCAATGCCGAGACATGTGACATAAACTCTTCCCTTGAAGAAATAGCCCATCGGTTAGTTGGACCTAATGGTCCATTATCGATCACTCTATTATGTGGGACCCAAGAACTTGTTATCGTTCCCAAAGATAGCCATAATTCAAGATTTATGTGAACATCTGGTAGTTTGTAACAGCTGAAAATAACAATTCGATGGTATTCACGTACAAAACAAACTAGTTCGCATTTATATTCAAAAGTAGGATACAAAGCATCAAGGATAATTCATTTGAAAGGATGGAAAAATCAGTTCGTGTGAAATCACAGGACAATACTAATCATTAGCAACGGATCATATGGAAATTACCACCAAACGTAAATTACATTTCTGTTAACTATTTATGAGTTAACACAACAAGTATGAGACGGAAGTTTTTCACATAATCGGATAGCTTAGAAACAAAGTTTTCACACCTGATTTTATTTAAACATAACATTTGTACAGAAGGGCACTCAAATATGTATGCATCTAATTGACTGCTAACACAATAACCTGATAATCCTCTTTACATGAAGCTTGAAACCTGAACAGACTCATACAACTGGTTATCCAGTTGGCCTTTCAAAGTACCAAGTCCAAAAGGAACTTCGGAAACTAATAGTCAGTAACTTTTAAATAAACAATGTTTGATTTTGTAACGCGTCCCGAAAAAATCGCAAAATCGTTGAAACGCTTAGGCATAGATATGAATGACGATGAATTTGAAATTCACTTTACAAAGGGATTATTCATACTATCAGGGTGTAAGCACCGCAGGAAGCGAAATGTAAACTTGGAAACCTACACAACACAACTTTTTCTGACGCGTTCCTATGCCTATGAAATATTATTGTAATTGGTGAACATCGCGAAGAATGTATTTGGACCAAACAATTTGTGGTGTAAAAAGTGGACATACATGAAATTCTTTTGTACAAATGTCAGCAAGTACCATCTAATAAAAAATAAGAACGATGTTCGTCTTTCACAATTAAAACAACAGGTTGTAAATTCTGATTGTTATGTATCTCGAGCTACATATCATTTACCCATGAATTATGAATACAGTATTTTAAATCACTATATGTCCTTATCATGTGGCACTTAAAGACTTAACATTCATGTCCATCGCGCAGTTTATCAGTGCACGGGGAGGTCCATTATCAAACACCGGATACGTTTTGTGTCAACTAGCTACTATCGAAACATCCGAATTACTCAAATATTCTTTTGGTGAATTACGCCAGAAAGTGGTATCTTTACGTTCTCGCGCCACATGTACCCCAATATATATGGTTACACTCCTTATGTACATAGGAACATGAGTTGGTTGTGAAACAAACTAGTAAGTGTTGTTTAGGTTTAAGTGAAAAAGAAACACAATGTTGAAATTTAAATTCATGGCGATACATTTATTTAGCACAATCCTGACCACATGAGATGTTCACACTTATCAGACATATAAATATGTTTAACCCTAATATCTGAGTTACGTACAATCTCATTATGACCGTGTATGGTGAATTCGCATAGAAAACAAAATTAAAGATCAAAACTCGACTACATACTTTTTCACTTACTTAGAATCTTTGCAATCTAATCTACTAATTGCTAGTCTAGGATGATCCATATCCTGTTTGACAAATTCTATAAACTGATAGCCAAGTCTTTCACGTGCCAATATCTCAAATATGTAGTTGACAATCCAATGCGATGATCGGTTTGTGACTTCCAACTTTAGACGAAGCTCCTGGTTGTTAAAGTGAAAAGATCTATTCCATTTTGATCGTTCTAAGGAATGCAATTATAATAAAGTTGATTACCATACCTGACATACTAAGACATGAGGGGGTAGGTGAATTTGAATCCAAACAGCTACCGAATGTGATTAAGAATGTGACAAGAAAAACAAGCCGATAGCTTAACTTGAAAATCGGACGAGCCATCTATTTATGATATCCACAGACCATTTCCCCCATCTTGAGCAAAACCTGCAGCTTCGAGGAAACTTACATGATTATTCACACAAACCTAAATAAGACAGCAATGAGCTAGGTAACAAAATTGTTTGAGAAAAATCCGTCTGTAAAAAACTTAGTTTACACGATTACAAAAACAGATGAAAATTATTCACAAATGGCACAGATAATAGGAATGTAACTGACCCAGCTTTGGGCTGGGCTGATGATTCTACTCGTCTGCTCTGAATGATTTAGCCGGATAGGCATATGAACGTATGATCTACTGGTTGAAAGTCATCCTTCGCACCTTGGATTATGTTTAAAATACATGCTTTTAGTACATTGATAGAGAAACCCTGTTTCTTTAATACTTACCAATTATACCCTTTGTGGCACCGATGAGACTCGATTTTAAGAGGGCAGATAACTACGTTAGTCTCTGTTGAAACAGTAGATTGAAGTACATACGAATAACTCAAATCAATTTTATTTGACCAATATAATGAGTTGCATTAAATTATCAGTATTTGTGTTAGTGATCTGTTTAAAACAAATGGAAACAGGGTGTGCACCTCATATCGAATCAAAATTCATCTCAATATAATATGGTTACAGAAGACGGATTAATTTGGATAGTATATAGTAGGCCAATACATTGGACTGCTTTACGAAGTTACCGACTTAATGGAAGTTACGTTGGTATTAACTTCTTGTGTCTGGGATTCGATGTGACAGAAATTGGTGGGAACTTTTTATGAAAGGTTAACTTTCAATTTAACTTCATAGAAGTATCTAACTCTTCCTTCACTTATTACCTATCTTTTACCGTGGTATATCTTATTTTTATTGATTTTCTTACCTTGTGGTTTGTGTGGGCGTGTTAATGATACGCCCTCAGGTTACTTAGCTGACTGAGAACTAGAATTATTTTAGGGAACACGTAGTATTGAGAGAAAATAAGTAGGCTACCAGTGCTTCCTGATTTCAAATATCAATCGGATTATTGAGTGAAGTAACTTTGCGTTGACTAAATGTTTTGAATGGACATTCCGGAGATTGAATAGATTAGTCTTTAGGCATATTTAAATCAACTACTAACTTTGATGGAAAAGTTAACACCAATTAGCTTGAGACTGTGAGAGAAAATAGGTTTTTATAGGTCGTTCAGTTTACAAAGCTATTCAGTGATAAGTGGAACAGCTTTGCAAACGGTGTCTATAGTGGCTCCTTGAAATTAACTAGCACGGTTTGTATTATTTACTATTAGCAACGAACAAATATTTGGTCATAAAGACCATAGGAGCAGTCTAATAAAGATCCCAGGACACTAGGGTCTGTATAATTTCTAAATATTTGAGTCACGAGATTAAAAAACTTGGATGGCTACACATTAGACTGTGTTAACCAGATTTGTTTTGAAAATTAAAAATATTTGGAAGCAGTAGATCTACAAAACTGTATATTAGGGTTATGTTTTAGTACTCCAGTCAACAATAGCCCTTCCTAAATAGCTGTTATGTTACCAAATCTAGAGTGCCGGAGTACGGGCTAGTTGCACGGGTATGGAGCGCATTTAAGTTACTCACTCACATTCTTTGTTAGAAATGAGGACTAAATAATATTCAATTGGTAGTCCCACTATATATCAGCGACCCTTCGAAGACTCCCCCAAATGCCCTGGTATGGCCGAGAGTGGGGTGGGTTCGCCCTCCCTCTCGAAATACTCTCACACGGCCACGTTATACAGCCTCTGCCAGGGAAGTCCTACTCATTGCCTTCTCGTGGCGACGGTTTTGATTACGAAAATGAGAGGACGAAAGCGAACGTCTGGCGCTATAACCGGATCCCAAATCAATGATGCATATGGGCTCCAGTATCCTGTGGGAACAAATGGCGTATGAACCAACTTTGGTCACCGCTTCCATGGGACTGCATCTCCTCATGATGCTCCACTACCTTTTGGACTAGACCCTTAGGTCAAAGGCTCGGGGTGTGGCCCCCTAAGAAAACCACCTGCTTCGGTTTGGGCAGCCGGGCAGTATCTCAGCCCACGCACTAAAACCATGATGATGAACTATTTGCTTATGGAAAATATTCCTTCCTATCTGATTAACATTGAAATAACTCGTACTATTATTATTATTATTATTATTACTCTACCACGTCATTTATTCACCCTCTCTTATTCCTACTTTATGTATCCGTTTCGACTTAGACAGCAGCTCACCTATGGTGAAAATTCAGCTTTATCTAAACGTTCTCGTGTCACTGCCTGGTTGAAAATTGTTTGTTACCATCGCATAAGAGTACTGAAGCAGTTTTTCTGAAAACACGTGCACCATTCAAACTAGCTGCCTTTAACGTTTGCACACTTATGCAGGTCGGACAACAGATAGGGCTGGCTGTCTTTGGAAATTCTTAATATTGACGTTTGTTGTCTATCCGAGACCCGTATTCAAGACTCTGGTGAAGTACTACAAGTTCGCTCTCCATCTGTCACTTCAAAAACATTGTTTTACGTGCGTTTATCCGGGGACGCTGTGGCATCTTCGACTGGTCTTGCTGGCGTTGTTGTCGCACTAAGCGCTAGAGCTGAGGCAGCACTAATCGATTGGATCCCCATTAACAGTCGGTTATGTGCTGTTAGATTAGAAAGTACCATCAAAGTGAGAAGAAATCGGTGTGAGAAACGATGTCTTTTCGTCATCTCCGCCTATGCCCCGACAGATTGCAGCCCGGATGCAATCAAGGATGAGTTCTACCGCCAGTTAACTGTTCTCCAGAAATTGAGTTCGACAGATATTGTAGTACTAGCCGGAGACTTGAATGCTCAGGTCGGGCGCCTAGGCACAGAAGAGAGTCGTTTAGGTGGCCGATGGGGACTCGTTGGTCTCAGGACAGATAACGGCGAACGTCTACTGCAGCTGTGCACAGTCCACAACCTGTTTCTGGCTAGCACTAACTTTCGGCACAGTTATCGCCGATGTGCCACCTGGCGTCCTCCTTCTGCATCTCAAGCCTGGACTCAGATTGATCACATCACGATCAGCTACCGCTGGCGTGCTTGTGTACAACACTGCCGCTCCTTTTGGAGTACCTATCTGGAATCTGACCATGCTCTGGTCTGCGCCAATCTTACCTTACTTTTCAGTGGACAGCGAAGTGACCGCCACCAAAGGATTGACGTTAGCAAGCTGGTTGCAACTTCTGTTGCTAGTAAGTACCGAAGCGAGCTAGCTTCTAGGCTAGCTACCATTCCACCGAAAAGTATAGATGAGCATTGGTTGCAAATGCACGACGCCATGAAAATGGCGGGTACAGTCTGTTGTGGGTTCGCGAAACGTCCCGCTTATAAGCACTGGGTTTCTTCTGGTTCCTTACAACTCATTGAAGCCCGTCGATCTACTTCGGGTGACCGCGAGTTTGACCACAAACGAAGGATGTTACGTAATGAAATCGGGCAAAGCTTGCGTAAGGACCGAAAAGCCTGGTGGTCGGAGCGTGCTAACGAGCTGGAAGCAGCAGCTGCATCTGGTAATTACCGGAAGCTCTTCCAGCTCATCCGAGCCACTGGCAGCAAGAAGTCTGGTGTGAGCAAAACAATCTGCGAGGATGACGGAACGCCAATCACTAACATCCATCGACGTCTTGGACAATGGACAGAATTTTTCGAAGGGCAGTTCAACTGGCCTGCTGCTCCGGCAACATCGGTCAGACTGTCCTGCCCTCCATGGCCGGTGACGACTGACCCACCAAATGAGGCGGAAGTCCGCAAGGATCTCCAACTCTTGAAACGTTACAAACCACCGGGCCCAGATGACTTACCTCCGGCTCTTTCTAAAGATGGTGGTGACTTTCTGACTAAGGGGTTGACGACGTTGTTTACAAAGGTCTGGGAACTAGAGAGTGTACCAACGTCATGGAATGAGTCGACAGTTGTCCCTAGATTTAAAAAGGGTTCACGTCGTTCCTATAACAACTATCGGGGGATAAGTCTACTTTCGATTGCGTCCAATCTATTGGCTTCCGTTATACTTCGTAGGTTGTTCAAAACTCGAGAAAGATTGACTCGCGAGGAGCAGGCTGGGTTTGGTTCTGGTCGAGGATGTATTGATCATATCTTCACTCTCCGCCAAATGTTAGAACACCGCCATACTTATCAAAGGCCAACAATAGTAGTGTTTCTTGATATCAGGGCTCTCTTCGATTCGTTGGACAGAACTGTTCGCTGAATTGTCTATTGAAGAAGGGTGTGCCTGAGAAGTTTATTAACATCCTAAGAGCCCTATATACAAACACCTCAGGCAGAGTAAGGGCATACAATCACCTTTCTCCATTATTCCATTCGAGCAGTGGGGTTAGGCAAGGTTGCCCAATCTCACTATTCCTCTTCAACTTTGCCATCGATGACATTCTGGAAACAGCTCTGGCAGATGTAAGTAATGGTGGTGTGGATCTGTTGCCTGGAGAAAGACTTCTCGACCTTGGATGTGCGGATGATATTATCTTACTGTGAGAGAGTGCCCAAGTCATGCAATCCGCACTTAATCAGTTGGCAATCAATGTCCGTTGGTATGGTATGTGTTTTGCACCTTCGAAGTGTAAAGTACTTCTACAAGACTGGGCAGGATTCTAATCCTGTACTCACTCTGGACGGTGAGCAGATTGAAGTAGTCGAGAAGTTCGTGTATCTAGGTAGCTGCATAAGTGCTGGTGGTGGTGTGAGTGATGAGATCAATGCACGTATAGTGAAAGCCAGAGTGGCTTATGCCAATCTGGGCCATCTTTGGCGCCTTCGTGATCTCAGTCTGGCTGTGAAAGGTCGGATCTACAACACGTCAGTGAGAGCAGTTCTGCTCTATGCTTGTGAAACCTAGCCTCTCCAAGTTGAGGATGTTAGACAACTCTCTGTGTTCGATCATCGCTGTCTACGAAGGATTGCTAACATCCAGTGGCAACACCATGTTAGTAATGCAGAGGTTCGGCATCGTGTGTTCGGGCACAGAGACGATAATGAAATTGGTGTCACTATCTTGAAACACCGGCTTCGGTGGCTTGGACATGTTCTACGAATGTCGTCCCAGAGAATTCCACGTCGTACATAATTTGCCGACACTGGGACTGGTTGTAAAAAGCAGAGAGGTAGTCAGTGTATGACATGGTGTCGTGGTATGAAAGAAAGCTGCAAAGGACTGACTTATGTTGGTCCTTCACGACTCGCTGGCTGGGGTCCTAGAGATGGTGCAACACAGTGGTTAGAGACGTTATGAGATATGGCTCAGAATAGAAGCCAGTGGAGATACTGCTGTAATCTTTTTTTAATTTCTTCGTACCAATATTTGTGTTCAAATAAATAAATAAAATCGAAGACACCTAAAGCTAAATAAATACAAGCTACATTTGTTCTGTCTGTAAACGTGATACCTAACAGTCTATGTATTGCTGTACAGTATAATTGCCTTGTGATATTTAGAACATTTGCCTGTTACTGGGATTGAAGTTTGACAGAAACAATGTGGTCCTTATAATCCTACCGAAATATTGTCATCAAACAACCATTGCTATTGTCATGAACACTAAATACTGAATTAAATCTGTTTGGATTTCTATGTCTACAGTAAACCCAGTTGTCGGCTGGCTAGTCTTGAGATTGCTTCGTATTTATGTGGCTTGTAAGGTTATTTTCCTGAACAAGCATAAATACAAGCTACATTTGTTCTGTCTGTAAACGTGATACCTAACAGTCTATGTATTGCTGTACAGTATAATTGCCTTGCGATATTTAGAACATTTGCCTGTTACTGGGATTGAAGTTTGACAGAAACAATGTGGTCCTTATAATCCTACCGAAATATTGTCATCAAACAACCATTGCTATTGTCATGAACACTAAATACTGAATTAAATCTGTTTGGATTTCTATGTCTACAGTAAACCCAGTTGTCGGCTGGCTAGTCTTGAGATTGCTTCGTATTTATGTGGCTTGTAAGGTTATTTTCCTGAACAAGCATTTTAGGGCTGAAGGCGGTGTTTATTATTAACACGCGATAATTTTGTGATCAGCCATATCCACAAGTTGCATTTGATGAAAGTCGTGTGAGAAAGACGAACAATAATTTTATGTCCTAACATCTGTACGTTTAAGAGAACTCAATTGGTCACACTAAAATGTACCACAGAATTGACTATATGCATGCTTATTAAGAAACAGTATACAAGTTATAGAACGAGGTTGATTAAATACAGGAGGCTATTTAAATATGAATGTAAACTGAAAATTCATAAACCAATTATCAACAGCAGTCATACATATCAAGATAAAAAGCTAAACACTAACCACATTCACCAATGGAAATAAGTTCACAGAACACACAAAATACATGTAGATCGCTTTGGTGTACAAATACGAAGCCAGACAAACACAAGCGACAAACTCACATGGTAATCGATATCAACGTTCAGTAAAACAACCACGCGTCCTCGTGTAGGCCAACTTATTCAAAGGTCCAATTTTATGTTCAAGCCTCAAAGTATCACTTCCTAATCAATTATTTGATTGGTGGTTAACGACTCAAGTCTAAAAAGTATTATATTACTAGACCATATGTAAGACTGAGCAAAGGTCGACAACCAGGTATACATCATAGTGATGATCCAGTTGAAATAAAATTTCCGTTTTGACTTCGTATCTTTAAGTTAATGTGTGATTCTACGTTATCAGAATGGCTCGAAAATGAAAGTGTGACCACTTGACTGCACTATTTCTAGTAAATATGGCGATTACAACCCGGGGTTGTTCAGTTTCTAGAACTATGAGCTTACATGTTGCAAAGCAGGAGATTGGTTGAGTGTACTGCGAAAGTTGCAGAACTAGAATCCAGGGCAATGAGGAAAGCAAGACAAGAAAGGTAGGCAGTATTTCCATCTTTCAACATGTAAATTTGTATATACGAAAATGACTGAGAGTGAATTGGCTTGGATTGATTAACGATAAAAGTAGTAATTTACGAGGAATAAATTGCGAGACGTGTAGTAGGATGAGTGAATACGTACACAAACTTTTCCCCTGACGCCGAGTACAGTTAAACATTATGACGGTGTATCGGTTGTGAACCTTGACTGCGTACATGTTTGTAGAGTATCATTTGGGAATTGCTCGCTGAAGGTACTGTGGTCAAATTAGCTAGAGGTATTGTTCAGATGAAAACGACCTGTACTAAAACATTCTGACCATATCCTATTGTCTCTGCTTCGATACCCAATTTCTGAAATGCTACGTTATAGGGTGTAGTAGTGGATTTGGAGGAATTTCTTTTGTCAGTTTGATATGTTCTTCACCATTATCAGACCGCCACGTATTTGACTGTGTCTTAACGAAAACAGACCTACGCGAAGAATCCGGTTTTCATGGTTTTTACTTCTTTATTTTAAACTACGCATGGTCGAACATATCTTAACCTACTCTAATAGATTCAAAAGGCTTTCGGCGTAGCAACGTGACTTTCGGGAAACGAGTTGCGATAGGTCTTCAGTAGTGCCAAAAATAACTCGAAAGTCAACACACCTAACATACTTCGAAAGACATGATAAATAACTAGCACTTTGTTTGGATCTCAGTGATGAATGCTGATACTAGCCAGGCTCTCCGTTAGCAACGAACATAGATCAGGATTCATGGAAGTTTTAGATAGACAATTACCTCAGAGCTGATGACTAACCTGTCGCTTTTATATAGTTTGCGATTCCATAGTGTGGAACATCTAAATGTCAAATGTCAGATCATTGTTTTGTTCCCCCTTTTTCACTAGTATTAAGTTTCTATGACGCTACCGTGAATCTCTTTCAAATATGATAGCTCTCCACAGTTTAATGTCATCCTAACAGACCGAGACTAATGAGCTAGGATTTGCTGGGAAGTAACTGTAAATAAAGAGAACAGTAAAGGGTAGTAGATGCGTTGTTGTGATACCTCACACACTGATGCACTAATGACTGAACACATCTTTGCTACAGAATCCCTAGTCTCGTGAATAGTCCTGTGATAAAAAAAGAGGAAATCTGTGGATATTGTTTGCATAACCTGAGCCGGATGGGTAATGTGCAAACTGCCTAGAAATAATCCATGCACACCCATTTTCCCATTCAAGCAGTTTGTTTAGTTATCTCGCTATAACAAGGATTTGAAAGCTCATCTCCCGTACTTTCTAAAGTCATATTGTGTTTCAAGGAAGATGATGAACATTGGTAGATTCTCGCTCGTCATCGTCTACTCATATATAAAAAGTTTTTCTTAGTATTGTTTGCAATTTACGATTTTATTCCCCCAGTAAATTTCACAGACATTACTCTGCTTCAGATGCAAATTGCACAACTATATCCGGATTGCTTTTCACCTCGTTTATCCATCAAATATCGTATATTCTGTGTAATGGTCTCGCATATAACATGTTTTACGATTGTCTAGTGCTCGATGGTTAATTAAGCTACCCATTTCGAGAGCCACAGAGCTTGTGAAGATAATATCTTACGGTCTTATTGTCCTTTCAACTAAAGCAGAGGTATTGATCGCTCTCATTTCACGTATGGTTCACCGAGAATCATACCAAACTTGACTTCACTGCGATAATCGGTAGTGTATATACGGATGTTTTTGACCGGACGCCGATAATTTGACAGCAGATAGTTTAACCCTGACTGTTTTCTATCTCATCACAGAGAGCTGTGTTTTAGTGTGAGCACTGATCTTAAGTTTTAAGACCCTCCTTTTTACCTATAGACCTCCTTACGCTGCTATGACTTTTTTCGGAAGTGTAAGATGGATTCCTTTGTGGATAAATTTGTCTGAAGGAAAGATTGCAAGGAGTGGTCTGGAACCTGTCAAAACTTGTTTGTTAGTAAGCTAAAAAATAGGTGGGGTTTTGTACTCTATGATGTTGACCTAGGGCTACTTTTCGAGGGCAAGTGAGACAATTGTGAGATCCGCGTAGTCGCTCTTGTTTTCTTCAGCAGCTGAAGTCGGTATTTGCAGGAATATGTATAGAGTACAGGATGTTTCCTTTGTTTCTCTACTCCTAAAAACTGCAGTTAAGCTCCCATAGTTTACAGCAGTCAAGCAGCTAGGTACAAATCCATGGGTAGTGATGATTAGATTAAGTAGATTTACATTCCCACTTAACTCACATGTTTACACCAAAAACACCCATTCTTATTAAACGGTATAGCACTGCTAACGTCTTAAATGGCTGAAGAATAAATAAACATATCAGAAGTTATATATTGTGGAATCGGCAACTATGAGGATTTTCCAAGGTGTTTTATGAGCGTTTTCACTCAACGTAATCAAAGGACTGTAACTAATCGACAAAGTCTCGTTCTTTGCACTGGAGCGCACTTTACCTTTTTATCTTTGAATGAACCTCAGACTTTTTGTCACTGGGAAGAATAACCGCTATATGGAATCCGAATATTTTGCAGTTTTATATCAAAATTTTTATATCTCCTGGTGGTGATATTGGAGGAGATTATTGGCTAAGTCTTAGAACGTACAATTCGACATAAAAGTTTCCTGTGTTTTCCGAAGACAAACATTACATTTTTTCAAAAAACAATTGCCAGAGGATAATCGCCAACAAATATTGTGCATGATCAGGAAAATAAATATTGGCTTCACTACTTCGGTATCATAAAGTCAACATAGTTGTCCGACAATAATGAACAGAACAAATACTTCCGAATTGTATCACTCACAAACCGTCTTCATATTTTGCTTGACTGCCGTATGATGCATTTGAACAAACCTCAGTGGGTTAGGTATACAAACTTCGCAAATAGCTACTTTTTTAGAATACGTACTCAATCAGAATAAATGTATTCTTGTCATCATTCGACCACATAAATCAACAGTCTTTGTGGGTTTCTACCATGGATTTATATTAACAAATAGTGTGTTTTGAACGAGTTCTCATGTCTTACAACAAAATCGAAATGACTGAAACGTAATCTTCCACTAGTTAGTTAACGAATTTCTTACCTCTACTACTAACAAACAACTCGAATTCCAGTTTGTGTGAAATTGTCAAGTCAAACCATGGTACTGACCCTTATGTGAAATTTGTTACCTTTTCTATCTTTTGACTTTCCTCGAAAGTGCGAAATCAGTCGAACTACTTTTTTGACAGCGACTAAATATCACATTTCTACAACTGATTATTCTTCGAAAGTACATGTAACGTGCGGACAAAGCTGTTTGAACTTAGATATTCAAACAGTGTGTACAAGCTTTTTCATGAATTTATAATTATAATTATAAATCTCCTTGCCGCTAATTTTATCAATTATAATGCGGTTTAGAATAACTTATTATTGCAGTGTTATAAACGGAGGACTTAGTAGCAAATATTCACAAATAATTAGTAGATTTTCAGATCATTTGGAAAAATATGTGGTACAAAAATATTTATGAATGTAAACTGTTGTGAGTCCGACTTCAAGGTTTCCAGTTCCGTCGACGTAAATCATTCCATTAAGTTATCTATTAATATTTATTGAGATAGAAAAATTGACCAAAATTGTAATGTTCAGACAAAGATCCTGCTGTTGGTCATCGTCCATCAGCTTTGAAGTCCGCTCTCAAATAACAGTCTATTACATGAAACATGCCAGTTTACAGGCAAGGTCAAGTTGCTACAGAAAATACAGTCTTCACTGTGGTGGGTCTGTGGAATTATGATCTACTATGATATTAGTACTGCTCTAATAATAGACGTAATCCTAAAATTGTAGATTCGTTATAATGTAACTGCCTAATCCATAAGATCTTACGTGGAAGTCACATCATCATCTACACCAACTCTTTGTACCGCAACAGTTTCAGATTCAGGTTTGTATAGTAAGGACAGAGGGCCTATGGCCTATGTTATTCCTCTTTTAGTATGCTTCTGTGAGTGTCCAGACTTCTCTTGAAAGATTCAATTGAAGGCGCGGACGCCACTGCTTCGGGCAGCAGGTTCCAAGTATTGATGAATCGGTGTGAAAACCTGTATGACACGGGTATTTTGTTCGTTCTTGGCTTTTCTACTCGCCTGCTATGTCCTCTGAGACGTCCCGATCTAGTGTGAAGAAAAAGAGAGAGTAAGTTAGGTCCAAAATCATTTCTCAGTATTCTATACATCAAGATTAGATCTCCCCTTAATCTGCGATAGAACAGGGTGTAGAGATCTAGCTTTTCAAGCCACTCTTTGTATGGTAAACCCCGGATTTCTGCCCCTGTACTTTTTCTAGGATATCCGAGTCACCTTTTAAACAGGGGCTTGCAGCCTGAACACAGTTCGTAAGGTTAGTTCTCACTAAGGACGTGTATACTTTGGTGAACATGGTAGTATCTAGCTTAGTGGATGTCCTTTTTAATGCCCAGAGGGTTCGAAACCCCTTAGCTGCGACCTCCCGGCAATGGGTCGTCGT